TTTGAGCGAAAAAAAGACTTCTAAAATAAATTGTGTAAAAGAATATTGAATCACTTGACCGCTGATACTAGACAAGACTGCTGACCAAGGATGACTATGACTTTGAAGTTTGAATACCAACACGTATCGCAATATTTCGGGGGTCATTACATAATTAAACTATTCTATAGGGTATTTTAAGAATACTGGAGATATTTTCCCAAGACTCCCAGATAAAAGGAGAAATTGTAAATAAGGGCACCGATTGTTCCGACCCCCATCGCCCATTTCGATAGATCACCAAGAAGGAAACAGAGCAAACACAGAAGAAAACTGACATGAGCACCAGAGGATTCGGAAAGACGAATGAATCGATCAACTAGAAAAACCTCTCACTACAGGTTCAAACCCTAAACCTAGTTTCTGTTTTGCCTTTCCTATACACACATATCTATGTTTATATATATCCTCGTCGAATGAAAAAGAAATATGAGAAGAAATTTGGATTTCAATTTGTCTACTGTAGAGTAAGTATTGATGATCGGTGTATTGTTTGTTAATGCTTAATTTTCTCAGAAAATGAGCTACGGATATTGATTAGTAAGCAGTTAATGTTTGATGACTAGTTCAGATTCATTGTTAGTTGTTGGTTTGCAATTTTTCTGGAGAAACTGAATAGGTGTAGCTGATTGTAATTGTACCCTGAAATTCTATGATTCTTATATGGATTGTTCTTCTTACAATCATTTTGGCCTCTCTTATATTAGCCTTAAGTCTTTTTGGGGGGGCCATTTAAGAGTTTGCGGTAGTGAAGATGGCTGGGTAAATGGATTCTCCTTGTCAATTTGATTGTTATCTAGTTACTTATTAATTGAACTATCTTATGGTTTATTTATGTAAACAATAAAAGGAATCAAAAGTGACTATTGTATTTGTGGTGTAGGAAAATGAATTCATGAAGTGGGATACCTGTTAGTTGATTATATTGTATTGTGACATTTATAAGACAAAATGAAAAACACGAGAAAATGTAAAAATCATTATGGGTATTGCATATATATATATATATATATATATATATATATACTAGTAATAACTCGTGCCTAAAAGCACTTTACAACTTAAAAGACATCGTCAATTTGAAACAATTTTTCTTTCATTTGTTTCAATTAAAGAAATTGAAATCAATCTAGTCTTTGCTTATTTTCTAAAAAAAATTACCATAGTTTCCTCTAAAAATAGTAGCTTAGAAAAATCTCAACCGGTGTGCAAAGGCTTAGGGGTGTTCACCCCACCCTACGGGTAGAAAATATAGTCTTCCGTCTTCCTACCCGATACTTTGCGGAAGATTTTTTTTTTGGCCTGCCCTACCCAATCAAGTGGGGTATTCCTACCCGACTTTCTACCCAATTAATCGGGTAGGAAGTCAGGTAAACACTTTTGTAGTTATATATTTTTGGATCATTTTAACAATTCAATTACATAACATGCACCATTTTAACAATTCAATTACATAACATGCACCAATTTAACAACACAATAAATCAATAACACTAAAATCTAAAACAACTACAACAACAATTACAATAAAACATAAGAAAGCATGAACATTAATCAATCATAATTGTTACACAAATACAATAACAATTATTATAAATTTAAACGATATGAAACACATTAAAATCATAATGGCTCCAATAGATCACCAGTTCACCACAAATTATGTAACCTACACAAAAAACCAGTCTATGTTTTCACAACAATAATAATGTTATAATATAAATTATATCACACAAATACTCTTATAATTACTAAAAAAAATATTAAAAAAATTAAATATATTTTTTGCGGGTAGGGTAGGGTAGAAATGCGGAAATTGATGGGTATTCCGCATTCCTATCCAATTTAATCGAATACCAAAAACTCTTCTGCATTCCTACCCGATTTTTGCAGCTAGCCATTCAGTAGAATAGAATAGAGTAGAAAATTGCGGCCAATCGAAAAATTTGAACACTCCTACAAAAGTTATATATCTCATAATCATACCAAAATCAACACTATAATATTAACTATTCATGTCATAGCCTTTCCTTAAAACAACAATTTACCAACACAACAATTTACCTAGCTAAATATCCGTGCCTTAAAGCACTATGCAATGCACAAATATCACCAATGAGAAAAAATGAGAGTGCATTAAAATAAGTTAACCCCATTCAAGTATTGGTCAAATTGCAGATAACTTTAAATCAATATGGGCTTTCTATTTTTCAAATAATTTCAACAAAGTCATCTCCAAAAATTAACAATATAAGATTCCTTGGTTATGAAAAGGAATTACAGTCCAGCCATGCATTGATCAAGGTATCAAAGCAACTACAACTTTGTGTGATTAAATCAAACCTGAAAACAGGAAAGAAAATGAATTTAGTCATATTCATAGACACTAAACTGGACAAAAAGAAAAGGAAAAAATAAATGAATATTAATCCAATTGCTAAAGTTGGGATGCATGAAGTAGAGAGATAATCATAATTCTAGTATAATGCTTCACATCCACAAATATTTAATGTCTCTACTCAAGATGAGTTAGTAAATTTGTTTAAGAGTATGAAGCATATGAATGTGGATAATGTAGTATGTCGTTATTTAACCAAAAAATGTAGTATGCGACCTTAAAACTAACACGGAAACAACTCGGCAGAATTGTAAAAGCATACACCTTATGAACTTTTTCCTCACTCGTAGGTTCTCCAATTATCAAACCCATTGATTCCATTGGAACTACTAGTCCTACCATATATCCTCCAAATTCCACTTCAAGCTATACTCTACCGCCCATCCATCCAAACCCTTCACATAGCCTTAACTAAATATTCTAGGGTCTTTGTAGTCATACATATTTCTTTCAAAATCTATCAGAATTTAGAAAGCAACCATAAGCTGAAAAATATGAATTGCAAATCCAATAAAGCAAATGCGAGAAAGTGGAAGCATATAAGCAATCGTCTAAACCCAATAAAACAAATGGAAGCAAAAAAATGGAACTAATTTGTAACGGAAAAATTGGAAAAATAAAGCTAAGAGGATTCCTTTCATGATAGGGGTTCTTTTAACATCAACTCAAAGTTTCTTAAACCCGCAAACCTTTATAGATTTCAAACAAAATAGATCACATTCAAAGTGGTATGACATTAAAAATAAATAACCTAGCTATTCTCAAAATAAATAAAAAATTACCTCACAACATGAGTGTCGAGTGGACGTGATCGCCGCTTGAGTTCAACCATAGCAAACATTTCTTTCAATTTGCGTCAAATTGAACCTAATGGCAATAGAAACACATGTTTATCAAAAAACTCGACCCATCATTCCACGAAGAGTTGGAAATTAACCAACCTTTATGTACCAATGGAGCAATAACATTCAAACCAATTTAACATTCAAAATACTCAAACTATAACATTCAAGCTATAACAAAACTTATCAAACCTATTTGAAAAAACACTCAAATGAACACCAAAATTATCAAACCAATTTGTCTGTTAATTTTGATGTTGTGTGTATGTAGCAATAGCAACAATATAATACATTCAGTGTAATCCACCACGTGTAACTCTTTGAATGCAAAAATTATGTTCGTAGAGGGGTAGTACATCTACGGAATTTTGTGGGCAGCAATTTAACTAATTACTTTCCTGTAGAAATAAATGCATCACCGTGTCCTCTAGAGGGGTAGTATAAAGAAGAATTTTGTAGCAGCAATTTAACCAAAGCAAATTTGATGGTAGGGATTATTTATTAGGTGCGGGTACAATAAACACATTATTTATTAGGTGCGGGTTCAATACTTCAATCTACTGGTATAGTGAAAAAAAAGAACTAAATCCAATATCTAAGCCACTAAGCATACAATCAAACATATTACGCCAGCCACCCATTGGTAGAGTCAATATTAAAAAATGCAATCAAACATAAGCAACGCATCCACCCAAGAACACATTTTAAGATTGTCAGGCCATACGGTGAAAATGAATTTAACCACAACATCATTTCTCTATCAAACTCCACAGTTCAAATACTACAATACCACTTTAATACGATGAATATCAGGAAATGTTAATTGGACCCATTAAAATATTTTTAATCCAAGCAACAATTTAATCAAAACATTCCAAAAAAACAAAAACAATCTAGAGCATCCAAATTCCGATTGAAAATTTCCAACTTGATATCTCATCAAAAGTATGCATATTAATATGCTGAAACACGTCTATGAACCTATACGTGTGTGTGCTCAGAAAGAGAGAGAGAGGGCATGGGAGTAGGGGTTTCACATAGAGAGTGAGGGGCTGACAGCTTGTGTGTGTCAAGCGCTGTGTATTGGGGTGTACAGAGAAACGTTAAGAGGGAGGTGATAGGTGTGATAAGATGGTTTTAAGGGAGAAAATGTGTGTAGGATAAAAATTTAAATGCCCTTCTGTTTTATATATATATATTATGTCCCTTCCATGTTACGTGTCTAATTACTGTTCCCCATTCCCATTCAAAATTTAATATTTGCTATCAAAATTCTGGTTGAATCTAGCTTAAAGCCTTAAACTATTAGCTTCCTGTAATGGCAGAGTATGGATGATTTCTAAGCTATAAAGTGTTCACATCAAATGTTTTAGATAATGTGAATTTTCATCGCATTCCCCCTCCATTTATTATAGCACCTTAGAACAATTTAGAGTTATTGTTCTCGTTTACCGGAATTTTCATATTACAATTCTTCTTCTGACCTTTCAACAACGACCAGGTGTCAGACTCAGTACATTGTGGTGTCACTTAACTAAGTCCCGTTAGATGTACAAAAGTTTGTATTAGAAACTAGAACAAAACCAGTACTTAACTTGCATAGGCCCCCAAAACTCCAGCCTCCACTTTTGTTACAATTCGCTGATTTCATCTTTGATGTGCCATTACAATTTACAATTCTCTTTCTCACTTTGAAAAATCCTTCCCACATCAGCACAAACCTTAGAATTATCACTTCTTCACTTCGATCAAAAAATTTCACTAAACTGCAAATAGTAACGGTGCTCTAAGAAGACTTCCCAACAACATTGTTAATATCAAACATTCCTTCATCCACCTGATCACTGAGACGAGATAACCATGTTCCCCTTAATCTGAATGAACATTTGCAATGTTCAAATCGTCACGCGAACTTTCCATTTCCAGCTAAAATCTATCATCTTCATCATGATAGCTTGATTCATCATTGCCTTTCTTCAAAACAACAATCTGATCATTCTTCTGTATCCTCTCAAACTTTCGGCAACAATCTCTTGGATTCATGCCCAATCGAACAATGGCACAACATAGAGGCCCTCTGTTTGCCCTAGACGTCAACGACGTCTAACCTTTATAAAGAAAACCCCAACTTTGGATCTTGGGTTTGGGTAGATCCGAAATAACCTTTAATAACTTGATTCAGTTTTGGGTTTAAGGGCCCACAAATTTGTACTAATTCTAGCCCAACTGATCTAGAGCCCACAACCAGCCTACCTTTTTCCTTGTCTTCCTCTTGCTATTTTCCTTCGGCTTTTTTATTGCAGCCCACATCTTTTCAACCCACCTCTTTTCAGCCCACTTACATCTTCCAACTGTGCACCATTAACATCCTTAATTACCTTCTTACCCAAATTAGTTGCATTTTAAAATTTTAAATTTCTTTCATTAATCCCATAATCTCGGTATAGATGAGAATAAGGATCTCTATCAACCACATTAAACGGCAGCCAAATCGGGCCACTTTTGTCAACCATTGGATTAGGTGCATTTCTTTTTTGTACAACCTGTTTTACCTGACTGCCATGTAATTTTTCCAACCCTAATCCATCGTCTTCAACCTTCCGCCTATTGTATGAAGACTCCATGCTACCACTACCAACCAGCCGGTTCTAGTTCATCCTCCTATATCTATCCATCAATGAAAATCCCTAATCTTTATAGAATAGGTTTTCCGATTATAGCTAACATCAAAGGAAGTTCTCAAGAAACCATCACATGGTCGTTTCACATGAATCCTAGCCAGAAACAGATTACGTCGACTTAAAGTATCATGGTCAACTTCAAGAATTCCAAAGGTGAATTGGAAGACCTTCAATTGCAATCCATCCTCCCAAAAAAGAAACCTTGCTTCTAATCCCATTGGCTTCAAGCTTCCAACGCCGCAGCTTCACTGACATAGAATTTTAAAGAAGACAAGTCTCAACTTTGCACATCTCTTTTGCTTTCGTACTTGAGTTACAAAAGAATATAGCTTTTTCCACTTGGAATGGCTTCAACTCAATATCACTCTTCAAAATACTCTTCAAATGTCTACGAATAATATTCCAAGGATGAAACAAGCTTAACCTACAACAAACCACTGCTTTCTTCCATTTTTCCTCTTCACAAAACAAATCCTCATCCCCCAAAGCAAACAGGTTATTCATTTGCTTCTTTTCCTCCACTTTGTTACCTATCATTAAACTCCTTCCCCTATCCATCCCACTTAGCTTCCCCCCTTGAAACATCCTTACCACCCTTAGGGATAATAAGTCCCAGTCTCCTTTCATTATTCATTTACTTTGTAATTCTTAGAAACACACCATATCTACTAGCCTCCATTTCCACCATAATAAAAAAACCCTGCTTCCCTGTACCTTGAAACACTCCATTTTGTTCTCAACTCACCGCGTCATCCATGACTCTCCTCAACCATGAAATACCTGCTCGATTAAAAATACAAGAAAAGGAACCAAATCTATTCCATTCCGTAATTTGAATCCACCAAAATTTCACCCCCACTGGCATAAATATTTGTATAGACCCAATTTTAAGTATTTTACTTGAAAATTTTGTGCTTAATTTTATTAAAATAGACCACATTGCTACCTTTTTATTTAATTGAAGGTAAACTATGAGAATTTTAATTTTTCAGGTGTAAATTAAAAATTTGAAGGTCCAAAGTGCCATTCACCCTAATTTAGATTATAAATCGTCAATTTTGCATTGTCATTTTTATTCTACATATGAAGACATGAGTCGGACCATAGAGAATATAAATATATGAACATGGAGACTGTCAACTTATGACTAAATACAGATGAATAGGCAGGAGGTGGTAGTGGTGGTGGTGATTTGGTGCTGATGGATTAGAGAGAGTTTGAGTAATTGGAGGTGGTGATTAGGCATAGCAATCAGAAAAGGAGAAGGAAATGATTATCCTCCTCCATGAGGGCTGGATTACAACTTACTTGTGGAGACGGAGGTGGAGGTGGCTGCGATGGACCAAAGGTAGGTGGTGCTGGTGGTGGGTACTCTTCTTCTCTTCCCTGTCGATAGCGGGGGTGGTTGTGCGGTGACCTTGATGACCAAAGTCTGATCCTCACCACCACTAAAGACTATTCTTTCTCTCTCTGACTCAACAGATATGGCCAATTTTTCACCCATTTGGAGAAAAATTCACCAACCAATCACCCAGTTATGCAATCCAATTCAACAGAACCAGTGAGGATCTGACTATCCTAGGGTGATCACCGATTCGTGTGTGTGTGAGAGATAGAGAGAAAAAAAGAGAGGGGGGTTAAGGCTCTGTCATCACCACTGTTGACTGCGAACTAATCACATTATCACAACATCGTATAGTCGTTGATGAACGACCGAGTCGCCGAACCCACCACCATATACACAGTTCATGCCTTCTTGAATGATCGAATCCAAGAATCACCTCTGTTTGGGCACAGAGAGAAAGAAAAAGGCGGGGTTAAACAGATGAGAGAAGATAGATAGAGGATAGATCCAAGCGTAATTCAAAATTCGGGCTAGAGGGCATTTTAGTCTTTTCGATAACTAGAGGGCCATTAGTTACTGTGGTATATTAACAAAATAGATTCGTGTTATTTCAGCCCTAAAAATATCCATTCCTGCTCACTTGTTTAATTTTTTATTATTAAATTAGTAAATTCATATATCTTATATTTATCTCATTAATAACTAAGTTCACCTTATTATATATACACCATTTTAATAAGAATAAAAAATTATCAAAATCTAAAAGAATATAAAAGAAAAAGTCATCGCAAGAAAAAAGAAGGAAACAAGACCATTAATTTGAATACATACATATATACACGAAACAAGACTACTACAAAAAATAAAAAAAGAAACAAACGAAACAATAAAAATAAACGAAATAAGACACCTATAAGGGTTGTTTGGTAAAAGGGTATGAGGGGACTTGACAAGATGAGTTTGAGAAAAATAGTTTAACGTTCTCCCAAATCCTATGTTTGTATTAAAAATCCAATCATGAGTTTTCAAACTTTGCTCGCAACTAGCCTGAAGATTAAACTCATGATCATGAGTTTGGATTGGAAAAGTCAATCCAAACTCCTCCCCAAACCTCTTTTTGCAAATATGAAATTCAACATTCAATCTGGTCTATACGTATGTTTAGTATGCAACACATACACATATAGGACTCACGAATATATTATAATTATTAACTATTTATTACTATTTTATCCTTGATCAATTTAATTCATACTCATGTTAAATGGTACAATTGTTTTAGGGATCCTTAATCTCTTACTCATCTTCCCAAACTCACCCCCTCCCTAGGTTTGACAAAACTCATGATTATGGGTTTAGTATTCAGGACGGGTTTACAAACCCGAGACTGAATTTTTCATGCAAACATAAAATTTGGGAGTCTTTTAGACTATTTTCCCCAAACCTGTCTTGCTAAGCCTCGGCCCCCCCCCCCCCCCCCCCCACCACCACCACCACCACCACCACCACCACCACCTTACCCAACAGCTCCCTAAAGCTATTGCCTCTTGCCACAGTCAATAATGGAAGAGACTTTGTTGCTGCAATCAATAATCTAAATGCATGCATATATACACACACATATAAACTCTAAAATCATTAAAATTAACAGAGATACAAAAACATATCAAAAAAAAAAAATCCATACAACACACATAAAATTAAATTAATTTTTTTTATTAGTTAAGTATACATATTATATATTTGTATAATATGTTATTTGTGTCTACCCAAAATTAAAGATAAAAATGTTAGGCCCACATTATCTACCCAAAAGAATTAAAAAATTAAACTCATTTAAAACAAAAAAAATTGAGCCCACAATTATTAACTCAAATATATTAAAAAATTAAATCTTTGACATATCACAATTAACAAAAGTCTATTAAAAAATAAAATTTTTAGCCCACTTGATTGATATCACTTAACTTATCTTATCTTTACTCTTTTTTTCTCTCTCTCTCTCGGTCACGCCCAGACAACCAGAAGAAACACAAAATCCTTGAGTTTTTTTGTCTTCCTTGTACCCACTAGGGCCACCATCGACAGGCGACAAGTACCAAAATTAAATATTCTCTCTCTCTCGATCAATTGATCAGCACACGCAGACACGCGTAGACTGCACACACAACACACACAAAATAAATTAGTTTTTTATTTTTAAAATTTTAAATTAATTAGTCTTGATAATTTTCTTATTTTTTGGGCATTTTAATTTTTAATCCTAATTTATATTTTTGTGCATTTTGCCCTTATGTATGGCATGTTTGAGTCTTTCTTAGCTTTTGACAAAGAGAAATTGGTTCGTTTAGTATAATATATGATATGACAATTCATACCAAAAAAATTTCAGATAATATAAAAAATCCACATAAAAATATAGAATATGATGCTATGAATCGGTAATACTGTAAAAAAAAAAATGTGACATTGTACGCTTAAACATAATACAAAGAAAAAATTCAAAAAATTTTTAAAAAAATCAGTAACCATATGCTTAAACATAATATAAAGGAAAATTTTTTAAAAAAACTGGTGACACCGTACGTTTAAATATAATACAAGAAAAAAATCAATATAATTTTAAAAAATTTTTAAAAAAAATCAGTGACACCGTATGCTTAAACATAATACAAATAAAAAATTCAAAATAATTTTATTAAAAAAAAAAACCAGTGACACTGTACACTTAAACATAATATAAAGAAAAAATTCAAAAATAAATTTTTTATATGTAAACTTTTCACAGAGAAGGGTATTTGTGTCATTTTTCCTTACTTGTACTGTTGGTAGATTTATACCAGCAAATAATACCACCTAATAGGTGGTATTCATTAAAGTCATGTACAAGGGTTAAAGGTTATTGTACAAACCGGATTGATATTACAACCCGAAAAATAATAATGCACGTAAAATGTCAAACAAACAAGGTAATAGGTGAACTCCAATTATTATTTTTTACTATCCCACCCTATACTCCCAAACAAACTCCCAAACAAACATATCACACGAGTATTAGTTAGGAAAAACACTTATTCCACTGCCCAAGAAAGGGAAAGAGTTTTTGGGGCCAACCTTACATAACACCTGAAATACTGAAAATGCCCTTTACCAACTTCCATCTGCGTTCACGTTAGGGTTTCATCTTCACTTAACACCTAAACATAACAGAAGGTACTAATTATTCAAGGGACAATTTATGTGGTTTATCCAACAATAATCCATCTATCCTTTAACAATTGTCTCTCTCAAATTTTGGATCCAATAGTGATTTCTTTTGGTATAAAGAGGGAATTTAGTTGAGTTGAATTTAGCCAGTAAATAATCACTAATTTTTTTTTTTTTGGCTCGTTAGTAAGTAATCACTCTGTTCTGTTTAGTATGTACCTTTACACTGGTTGTTAAGTTGCACATATATTGTTATTAGTCATAATTCTGCATCTAAAGACACTATTCAATATTAAAAATTAATCATTAATTTTATGATATTTATACTTTAAATAATAATAATTTTTTTTTTAATTCTAAAATTTTAAATTAAAAAAAAAAGAGAGATAGATATGGATTAATGAGATTATTTGATATTAGAGAATATGTTAATTAAGTTGTTTAACGTTGGGAACCGTATAGAAAAGATGACTTTTTGAGCGGAAAAACACTTTTAAAATAAATTTTATTCTATTGAATCAAAATAGAAGAATATTAAATCAATCTTTACCGTTGATACCACACAACGCTGCTAACCAAGGATGGCTATGACTTTGAATACCAACATATCGAAATATTGCGGGGGTCATTACATAATTAAACTATTCTATAGGGTATTTTAATAATACAGGAAATATTTTCCCAAGACTCCCAGATAAAAGGAGAAATTGTAAATAAGGGCCCCGATTGTTCCGACCCCCGTCGCCCATTTCGATAGATCACCAAGAAAGAAACAGAGCAAACACAGATTAAAACTAACATGAGCACCAGAGGATTCGGAAAGACGAATGAATCGATCAACTAGAAAAACCTCTCACCACAGGTTCAAACCCTAAACCCAGTTTCTGTTTTGCTTTTTCTACTCACACATATCTATGTTTATAGATATACTCGTCGAATGAAAAGGAAATATGAGAAGAAATTTGGATTTCAATTTATCTACTGTAGAGTAAGTATCGATGATCGGTGTATTGTTTGTTAATGCTTAATTTTCTCAGAAAATGAGCTAAGGATACTGATTAGTATGCAGTTAATGTTTGATGACTAGTTCAGATTCATTTTTAGTTGTTGGTTTGCAATTTTTTCTGGAGAAACTGAATAGGTGTAGCTGATTGTAATTGGACCTTGAAATTCTATGATTCTTATATGGATTGCCCTTCTTACAATCATTTTGGCCTCTCTTATATTAGCCTTAAGTCTTTTGGGGGTCATTTAAGAGTTTGCGGTAGTGAAGATGGCTGGGAAAATGGGTTCTCCTTGTCAATTTGATTGTTATCTAGTTACTTATTAATTGAACTATCTTATGGTTTATTTATCCAAAAAATAAAAGGAATCAAAAGTGACTGTTGTATTTGTGGTGTAGGGAAATGAATTCATGAAGTGGGATATCTGTTAGTTGATTATATTGTATTGTGACATTTATAATACAAAATGAAAAACACGAGAAAATGTAAAAATCATTATGGGTATTGCATGCACACACACATATATATATATTATGTCCCTTCCATGTTACGTGTCTAATTACTGTTCGCCATTCCCATTCAAAATTTAATATTTGCTATCAAAATTCAGGTTGAGTCTAGCTTAAACTATTAGCTTCCCATAATGGCAGAGTATGGATGATTTCTAAGCTATAAAGTGCTCACATCAAATTTTTTAGATATTGTGTATATTCATACCATTCGGCATTCCCCTTCCATTTATTATTAATGCCGTGATCCTCAGCTTCATCATTTGCTTTTACAATGTGAGGCACTGACTTTTGCTTACCCGCTTGTAGGGCCTACATGGATTTTTCCTCAACAAGTGAGGGTCCTACTATACTGCACTTACAGAAATGGGGACCATCTGAGTTCCAATTCAATCTGTCTGAATTCCGTGAAGCTTTTATTTCTCCAACACGGGAGCTTCTGTTATTGCTATCATATCAGCGTGAAGCTTTGCTGGTTCCTCTAGTTAAAGGTTAAAATTTCTATAGCATCTTCGCCCTTTTTTGTATGTGTGTGTGTCTTTGATAAGTGTGTGTCAAGCTTTGCTGCTTCCTGTTATGAAAGGTTAAAATTTTCATGGCAGCTTCATTCCTCTTTTGTGTGTGCGCATTTTGTCTCTTTGGTAAATGTGTGCGATTCTTCCTTACGGACTGGCAATATCTGATTTCATTTTCCTCTGCAGGGGAAGATTTAAATGTCAAGGAATCTGAGAATTGTATTTATGAAAATATTCAGGATCCAAACTCCGTAGCTTCCTGTTCAACGGAGTTTGCAGCCCATAGGAGGTCAGATTTAAGGGAGAATGTTTCAAGAAGTTCTGAATCTGTAAAGATGGTTTCTGATAATGATTTTTCTCTTGACATAAATTCTGCAAGGACTAATAATTACCCTTTTGTCTGTGATGTAAACTCGCTGGCTTGGGGTATATGTGGGGACACCTATAATCATCACGAGGAAACTTCATTTAAAGAACTTCTTTTTGTGTCTGGCGAACAAGGGGTGACTGTCCATGCGTTTTGTCAACCTAGTACGGCCCGCAAAGTGACTGAATCCACAATGGATAGTGGGATTGGAGAAGGGATATGGGTGGAATGGGGGCCATCTGCTGCCTTTCATGATATGGAGGCAATAGAGCACTCTCGTTTGCATTCTGAAGCCTCTAGAGATTATGTAAACAACAATTCTGAAACTGGAGAAACTTTGAATACCCTTTTTGTGGAAGCTGAGGAGGATGAGTTGGCAATAACTGTTGCTCGAAAGCAATGGTTACGGACTTTTTTGACCAAAGTTGAAACATCAAAATCTGAAGGTAACATGTGGACCAGGTTTCCGAAGAAGTCATCGTTTCCTTCCACTGCGAGGGTTGTTTCGTTTAGCATTTTTGGTAGTGATTTTCCGCTCTTGGGCTTCCTGTCTGATGGCAGGCCCTTATCACCTGAGAAAGAGAGCCACAATGATTTATTTCTAGATCTGGTGAACAATACCTATATAGATCCAGGTACTAGTTCATCTGGAAGAGTTATTGAGTTTGATGCTGCATCCAATAGTTCGACTGCTACAAGGAGCACTTCATACAAGTGTTCGAGATTGTTCTCTAGCAATTCACATCGACTAATTGGTTTTGTTTTAATTTTGGTGGATTCTGAACCTGTCAACACTTGTGATGGACCTGAAAGAAACAAGAGCAAAATTCTTCTCATTGTTGCTAGGTTGTTTAGCAGGGGAATACAATGGGTTTCCTCCGTGAAGCTTGATGAATGTTTTGATGGTGGTTCTGTGTATGAGTGGACTGACTTTGGATTTTCTGATAATTTTCTTATTTGCCTTAATGCTGCTGGATTAATCTATTTTTATGGTGCGATGAGTGGTGAGCATGTAGCACATTTAGATCTCTTACAGATTCATGGACTTCAACTACATTCTCAAGATCAAGATAAATTGCGAGTACAAGGTGACGTGGCTCCATTTTTTCAAACCTGTGATTTTGTTGGTAAAAAAGTGTTCAAGAGGCTGCTTGTTGCTTCACTTACATCGTGCTTTGCTGTTGTTGATGAACATGGTGTAATCTATGTTGTATGTGCTGGCGAACATGTGCAAAGGAAATGTTTTTCCATTGAGAGATCAGTGCAACCTATTCAGCATACAGGGCTTGGAAAATTTATCAGTTGGGAGGTTGGTGGTGCTGATATTAGCCACCAAAGAGTATTATCTAATATTTCAGGCTGTAATAATTCAAATAATTCTGAGAGAGGTAAACCTTCCTCCATGGATACTGTCGGAAGTAGGGAGCTTTGTAAAATCCAGGACAGAAAGGGTCAGCTGGGTCAGTATGACCTACATATTAGGGGCTTCACATCTGCATTACAGATGATGGAGCAGAAGTTTCACTGTTCTAAGTTACCATTGCGCCGTATGAGGGAAATTTTTGTTCCTAGATATAGATTTAAGGGAGATGATGTTATTTGTTTTTCTTCTCTTGGGATCACACAGCTCAACAAAAAACATAATAGCATGAGCAAAAGGTGTTCTCAACTTCTTCATTCCTATTTGCATGTAGACTCAACTATGAATGACGACAAATGTTTTGATCTCCAAGGCTGGGAAGCTTCTGTTGGAGAAGCTGTCGGTTGCACTTTCCAGGGATGTTTTTATTTGGTGACAAAAAGCGGTCTTTCAGTAGTTCTTCCCTCTGTTTCAGTTTCTTCAAATTTATGTCCAATTGAAGCCATTGGATATCGGCAAACAAGTATCAGTGTTGATACGGTGCATCAAGCTGGTGACCTTCCGGATATGAAAGGATTGAAACAGCCTTGGTCGCCTTCGAAAGCAGAAGTACTGGATAGGATTCTTTTGTATGAGGGCCCCAAAGAGGCAGATCACTTGTGCATTGAAAATGGTAATATTCTCTATAATAGAAAATGTCATGTTATTGCAAGCATGGTTGTTTTCCTGCCATTAGATTGTAACCACTTTATACATTGAGAATAATGTGTTTTGTCTTCTTGATCACATACTCTGTTGATGCTTTATTTCCCGTACTTATCGTATTATGCATTTCTTAATTTGCTCCATGTCCTGCAGAAATTTATGTATGTTCTCTTCATACCATTTCTTTAGCAAGCTGATGGATTTGGCAATGGCAATTTATTTTGGCTTTATATGAATCCTTATATGTTTACTTGTGATGCAAAGTGAAAAATTCCAGTTCATAGCATATATCCAATCCTGTGGAATTTCCAAAAACTGGGAGGGTTCAGTGTAGGCTAATGGTAACGGCAAGGACATTGCATAAGTCAATCATTGGAAGACTAATACTAAGCAGGGAAATTGCAAAAGAAAAGCCATAAACCAGTGATTTGTGAATAGGCGTTCAGTGTTGAGTACTCCTTACCTCTGTTATAGGGATTTACTTATTCACCTCATGGTACCCCTGTTTATTTTATCATCAATAAGAAACTTTTCATTGAACATGAAACAATACTACAAAAGGGATGAGAAGTCCCAATAATAAAACTACATAAAAGAAAACAAAAGAAAAAGTAAACAAAGAATTACAAATCACAAACAACTTTCCAACTAGCCCTCATAAAAAACAGAGCAATTCCCACAAAATGGGAGGCTCAAAAGCAAGCCAAAAACAAACTGTTTCCCATAAACCATCTGCTACCTCGCTCTTTTCTTGAAAACAAATTTCATTCCTCTCACGCGAGTTAACCCATAAGATAGCCAACATCACACTTCTCCAAAGTGATCTGGCTTTTTTACTTCTTAAAAAACCCCAAAAATCAATTTTAAACATCGTGATGCATAAAGCTAGAGCGACTCAATACATTTATGTTCTTCAAACAATCTAGTCTATATAGAAAAGCAATAAGACAATGGGGAAAAGATGATCAACCCTCTCCTCACTCTTTTTACACATATTGAACCTCTAAGGACGCAGAAAGATATAAGGTCATTTCTTTTTTTTTTTGTTTTGGGAAAGTAATACAAGTTCGATTCATTTGAAGAAAATAATTGGTATTAGTTCTCTTTTGCACAACAGTCCTAGAGAAGACTTGAATTTTAATAGTCACTTTTGCTTTCCAGATCATCTTTGAAGGTTCAAACTGTTATAATGAAGGATCATAGAATCTCTGCAGATGAAAGAATAGGCCACCCTTTTCCCTTCCTCACTACCATCCCTACAAAAATTTTCTTATCATCCTATCAATCCTTTTTTCCATTTTCGAAGGGATATTAAATTAACATAAAGTGAGTGGGTATATTGGAAAACACCGATTTTACTAAAGTTAATCAACCACCTTTAGACAATTGCTTCCATCCAACCTCTTACCAAATTTCCCCACTATTGGATCCCGAAAGTTTTCGGACCTAGAATTCTCATGTAAAGGCAAACCACACTCCAAAGCATCACTCAACCTATCAAGCTTATTCTGCAAAGGGTTTATGCCAACTAAAGAACTCTTGCCCAAATTAACCCTTAACCCTAAAATAATCTCAAAGATTTGCACGGGAGAGTACAAATTAATAAATTTCTGCCATTTTCATGAAAGAATAAAACATAGTCCCATCAACAAACTGAAGATGATAAACAGAAACCCCGTCACTACCCAGTACCCACCATAATTCCCTCAACAAGATCAACCTCCTGAGTGCTCTCCACCGATCTGCTTGAAGAGTCAACAACGAAAATAAATAAGAAAGGGGATAACGGATCACCTTAAAAAACCCATCACCAACACTTGAAATTGAAAAACATTTCCCTGACTTTCCATTCAAAAAGATTGAAAATTCAAAAACAACGAGCAACCACGAACTTCTGTTCTTCATTTACTCCCAAAGCCTTTCTTATCTAAAACTAAATCCAAAGAACCCTAATCAACATGATATCAGTGTTGATGCACTGGAAAGCCTGGAATGGGTAAGACAACCATGTGGAAGACATGAACACATGCTTGTTTTCTATATGTGATGGAAGAAGAAAGTGAAGCTCTTGTAGGTTTGTTCTTGCCAAAAATCTAATTCTATTAAAGCTCATAGTAGCAAAAATATTTGGTGAAGAAATGATGTTTGTTAGGGTTTGATATTGCTGAAAGTCCAATTTGCCAAAGCCTTTTGATTTCCATAATTATGTACATATGTGAAGAGAGTTGAACCGAAAACATTTCAGTTGTATTAATCAACTACCGAGCATGGAAACCTCTCATAGGCTTCATATCAGTATTGGACACATCATGGACATCGCTTGCTCTAGAATCCTGGAAACACTCAAAACACTTGAGAATGTACATAGATTTTTATTTTTTTTTTTGAATTTCAGGCACATTCATTACTCGCTCGGGACATGCTCATGAAATGCATGATTGGGGACCAAAATTGAATGGAAAAATACTTGTGTTGTTAGATGAAAATTAAAATAGACACTAGGAAAAAAAATATAAGTAAAAGAAGTTTCCACCTTAAAACCCCACTAAGATTAAAAAAAAAGCTGAAAGATTTAGAAGAGAAAGGAAAGTAGAACTTTATCTCCTCCGACATGACATATGTGCTAAATATTCTTTACTTCTTGAAGAGTTACTTTTTTAGAAATATTTTGGTCCACATTTTAGAATGCTATAGAGAGAAAGAGTTCTTAAAGGCAATGCCATATCGTGGCATGGGTTAATTTTTACTTCTATGGGCTAATGGAGAATCATCTTTGAGTTAGCTTCTTTCAAACCGAGGCTGATGGTAGTTTAACAATTAATTTATGTTGAATGACAGTGTCTATTATGTGGTACTTATGGCCCCAAACTATTTTGTGGATACAGACTATGCCTTTGTTCCTAGACAAAGGCTGTATTATGACATACTATCCCTTTGTATTCAAGAAATCATTTGCATTTTCACTGTGTGATGGGTGCCATAACATAGTTTTTCCATTACAACTAGTCTAGGTATTGAAAAAAAAAATTGCATTAATTTTTGACAGACATCTTGATTTTATTTCAGGGTGGGACTTGAAAATTTCTCATATGCGTCGCTTGCAATTGGCTTTGGACTATTTGAAATTTGAGGAAATTGAGATGTAAGACTCTGTAAATACACGTTTTCCTTTTATTGTACCTTTTATTTGATTTCCTTGAATAACAACAAATGAAAAGTCAAAGGGATGTGTCCCCTATCAGCGTAGGATTTCGTTGCATCTTGTGTTTTTTCTTTCCAATTGGAGAAAGATAAGATAAAGGAGTTAAAAAGAATGCGTTAGACAAATATTCTTAAGGATGCAAGTGTACTAAATAGATCATCGGTAGTGTTTCTCTTTAAGTAGGGCATTTAGAGTAAACTAGGTGAACAAAGTCTTGAAATGCTTTCAATCATGGGGAAGGTGCCTTTCTGGAGACCAATTTACTTTGTTCACAGATTGGTGCTTTGGTATTGATTCAAATCTTATGGGATGTGGTTGCTTGTTAACTCATTATTTGTTTTGGCTTGAGTGATGGCCGAATCAATTGTGGACTTGGTTTGTCATTGGAGGAGAAGTTATGGCAAGAGTCGCGACTTGGAGGTTGGATTGTGGCTAAAGTAATTGGTTGAGAGTCACCAGAGACATTCTGAAGGAGTGGTGGTTTTAGTAGTGGGTTTTAAGAGAAGTTTTATTGGACGTTGGTTCTTTGATTATGCGGGTTATGCTAGTTGTCTTTAACTTTTCTCTGTCTTGTATGTCTTTTTTTATTTTTGTATTTGCTCCCATTTGGCGCTTATTGTTATTATATATGTTCCCCCCCTTCTTTCCAATCATGAAAAAAAGGTTTAAAAACCTACTATTGCATAACATTTTGGTATTTCTAAAATTTTGAGATGGGAATGTCATTATTGTGTCATCAATATCTTATCCCTACGTATCAATGTTCGTTCTATAATTGTACTAAATAATTGATCCGAAGGATCATCATGTTGCGGAGGATAGAACACAAAAACGTTTCCACCTTAGGATGAAATTTTCTGAGTATGGAGCAAGGATCATAATGTCTTTTTGGTGCATTGGGTTGGTTAACTCGGAAACAGAAATACTTCGGAAATGTTCTGAAAACATAATGGAAATAGAGAAAAAAAAATTAAAATTTGATTTTGAAACAGTGACCGAAACATTCTGGATCATCTCTAAACATCGTGAAACAAGAAAAATTAGATTTTTGAAAGATTTCGGTCGTTTTTGTAGAAAAGAACGAAATTTTGATCCTTGGTTTGGAGATCAAAGAGGCTTGCATTTTTGATGTTGTGCTATGCTGACTATTCTTGGTGAGTAATTAGTTGAAGCAATGCTATATTCTCTAAAGGATAATCGGTTGTGTGAATATTTTTAACTTTATGGAACAAAATTCTCTTCCAACAATTCAGGGTATTTGTGATTAAAGGCTTTGAGGAGGTGCCTTTTGTGGCTTATCATGTATCACGAGGATGCTTTTAAGAACAACCTAAGAGAAAACTTATATATTGTTGTCTACTTGGAAATCCAAGCTATGGGGCATTGAGGAGGTCGGAAGAGACGGTGAATACACCAGTATTTTTTCTTGTTTTAAACTTTTCTGGTTTTGTTTTGCAAATATTTGAAGGCTTTTTGAAGAGTCTTTTTTTGTGTTTGCTCAATTAGTTAATTGAACCCCTAGTTCTTATACATTGATCGGAGGCTGATGTTGTAAAAAAAAAATGATTCTTTAGACACTTAAAAGCCTTCTACAAAATGCCTTGAACTTGATTCGATTGTTTGATTTCTCTGTTTTTAGAATTTCATTTTTCTTTGGGCTTGTGCAATTTGCATCAATTTTCTTTGTTTTCTTCCTTGTCTCTCCTCTCGCTCCACTTTTTGTTCTATATTGTCAAAGCTTCTATATGCATATGCAATGGGAATTGAAGAAGCTTACTTAGTTGCAAAACATCCTATGCAGTTGAATAAGCATTAACGAAATGTAGGGTCAGCGTGCTCAAACCTGCTTATTGAGAACATGCCACTAGAGATTATCTCTCTTTTGGATGATTTTTGATGTGGCTACAACAAACACTTTTTCTTTGAGAACTCAAATTTACCTCAGTGTGAATGTTCTCTTAGCTTAGAGCATCAACAATTTTGTAAAGAACCGGTGTCATAATTGACAATTATTTTAGCAAGTTGATAAGCGTATCAATGATATTGTTTGCTGATGATACTATTGTACCAGTGAGAAAGAGTGATGTAGTAGCTGATGACGACTATTGAAGGAGTAGAAGAAGACCATAATTAACTTTAAATGAATTAGTTCAAACGCTTATGATAGCTTATGGTTTAACAGAAATTATCATCCTTAATAGAAGTTGGGACAGGACGTAGTTGAGTTGAGTTGCCGATGACACTAGTGACATATCGGCATATTGTGTGGTATGTTGGTAGTTAATGAGATATATAGCTTGTTGTGGCCTTCTCAAACAAATCAAGAATTGGACTGTCAATTAATATTTTTTCCATGCCTTGTTTTTTATTAAGCCTTTCTGCAATCAGTTGGAAGTTTAGAAAATTTCACATGATTACATCTATATATCTGTCTATATATATATTCTAATTTTGGCCACATAATTACTTTAATGATCATTGAATGCCTAACATATCAATTAGAGGTTTCTTGCCTACCACAATATGTTAGTTGAGCAAGAAGTATGATTTTTTTTTTTGGTGCTTATGAATGAGCAGTTCTTTAGAAATGCTTGAAGGTGTCAACTTGGCTGAAGAAGGCATCTTGAAATTGCTCTTTGCTGTTGTTTTTTTGATGTATCAAAAAGTCGGTAATGATAGCGAGGTGGCTGCTGCATCAAGGTATTATTATTATTATCATCGAAGTCCTTTTGGATTGTTTTGAAGATTATTGCCATTTTTTTAAGAAGTTATTGTGCAATGCACTTACTACTTCAATGAACATGTGAACGAGTTATTGGATAGAGATCTCTATAAAATTATCTTTATTGATTGTGCCTCTCTTTGGCGGCTTCCTTTTTATGTTCATTTGTCTAAAACAAATAGATAGCACTCTTGGCTCTATTTCTATGCCGCCAACACTGGATATCAGCCCTTTAGATCTTCCTTTTTTTCAAGTTAACGAGATAACTTATGCATTTTGATAAGCTGGTTTTGTGCAAACCATAATCAAAAGACATTTGTCTCACACATCATTTATTTATTTTTTGAGTGGCATAGTGCTCATTGATCATGAATCTAGAACTGGGGGAAGTTGCAGATTGTCTTATGAATAATGTTACCCCCTGCCTGTGGGTTGAGGTGTAGTGGGATCTTCTGGCTTCACTGACCAAATTACAGCTGGGCCACAATGAATGAAATAGTTACTAGTGCCATATGGTTTTGGGGACTTCTAAGGGTCAATCTCTATTTTAAAATTTCAATGTTGATTCTTCCAACCAACCAAACTAAGCCTTATGTCCCAATCATTTGGGTTCAGGTTAGGGTTGCTTGTATTTCTCTTTTAATAGTTTACTAGCGGCTGCCCTATGCGATTCACAGGGTTTATATTTTGATCCCGTTTGATCGTCTCCACTCTCCACCCATCTTGATATTTTAGAGAAGTTAGAAAAGTTAAAAGAGGATAGATAGGTAGGAATTATAGACGATGTGGTTGGTTGGATGAGTGGTAACTATGACGTGTGGAAGATTTTGGTTAAGAGAAAATCTTATTTTTTTGGTTTAATAAAATCAAAATTACGTACAAAAGAAAACATGGAGGTAAGGTGTGCGAAAGCTCTTCCTAACTAATTAGTTTACAAATAAAAAGGTTTGCCTTTGTCTTTGGTTGAGTTTTGTTTTTTAAAAATAACATAATTTACTGTCTATTGTCGCGGGTGGCCCGAGACAATATAAGGCCTAAAGCGGTTACTATAAATGAGGCCTTTTTACTATCTAATTTGAATAAAAAATTTATTATTTTCACTTTTTGAGATGTAAAAGTAGTAATTAAATTTTTATAATCAGGTTTTGCTCACATATTTTTTTTAATTGATAGTATCACTGCGTAGTCGATCTTAAGTAAAATTTTATTGCTCTTAATAAAAAAAAATTTTATAGAAGCAATTGCTACAGAAATTTTCAGTAATATTTGGTAAGCAATGAATAAATTTGAAAAAGAATTTATCCTTTTTATATAAATTTAGCATCTCACTTGGGAGTATTCTTGTCCTATTTGTAAAAACTTTTTAGAAACATATAATGCTAAAAGCAAATCTAAACTATTAAAATTTGATAATTTCCGCGCTTAAAAGCTTATTTATGTTCTGGGAGGTTTTGTGCTTTCCGAAAGTGAGAGATGTTTTTAGGTGGTGTGTTTGATGCAATGACTGTGTTGTTGCGTAGAGAGAGAGAGAGTAAAGGCCTCATTTATAGTAAAGAACTAGTCCTTTGACCGAATGAGAGAGAGGGGAAGGGGGTTGAGAATGAGTGGTTAAGAATTATGATGTTGACAATATTTTTTTACATGGGCTGGATTCGTGACCCAAACTTCTCAATTTAAAAGTTTTGTGGACTTAATTTTCATGGCTTTTTTGAAGGGCTTATGTTCTTAAGATTTGGACTTTTTATTAGGCCTAACTACACATCTAAATATTGTGGGGCCTTCCATGTGGATGAGGCCTAAAGCACAGGCTTTGTTGGCCTTGCTATTGGGCTGGTCCTGTTGTCATAAATTGTTAATTAACGGTGTAGGTGAAAGTGCTCTGGTTTATGTTTCGGTTTTTTTTAGAATCTACATCTGTGCTATACTTCTTATGTTTAGATTGTGATGCAGGCTTCTCACATTGGCCACCTCCTTTGCAACCAAAATGATTCGTAAATATGGGTTCTGGCAATATAAAAAAGATGCATTCATGGCACAGGGTGTTAAGAGTATCCAAAGTTATGCAGTTGCTTCTGTGTTACCACCCAAAGATAATAATGACAAAGGAAATTCAAGAAAGCTTCGGGAGATGGCTCACTTTCTGGAGATTATCCGAAATCTGCAATGCCGACTTAGTACCAAATTTAGGGGGCCAGTTCAAGGATTGGTATGTTGTTTGTTGTCATAAAATTTGAATAGGATTAGCTGCTCGCTATCTGTCACTAGAATAAAGAATCCCCTTTGCTTTATGTTACAGGTGGATGATGTGGGGGCATTAAGTTCATTAAATACAGATTTTCCAGAGGATGACCATGAGCTTTCAATTCTTCCTGCAGATGCATTATTGTTGGAGACATCAAAGCAACACAAACCATCAATTCTTGCATCTGATATGGACTCGGACAATGCTGAAAAACTTGCTTTGGTGCCCATGGATTCCTTGGACTCCAAAGCCCATCCGGACTTGGAGAACTTCAGTGGAGCATCCATCCTTGTTTCGGAAGGAAGTATTTTTGCAAGGAAAGTTTTCCCCTTGGAAAATCCCAAGGATATGATTACACGTTGGGAAATTGATAATTTGGACCAAATAAATGTTGTCAAAGATGCGTTACTTTCAGGTCGTCTTCCATTAGCAGTTCTTAAATTGCATCTTTATCGTTTAAGAGATTTGGCCACTGAGAAACAGCCTCATGATACATTCACTGAAGTTCGTGACATTGGAAGAGCTATTGCTTATGATCTATTTTTAAAGGTAGCTTGTTTTTTGTTGTTAATGTTACATAAGGTCTTTCCTCTTTTCATTCTACTAATCTACTGTCAATAGGGTGAAACTGGACTTGCTGTTACTACGTTGCAAAAGCTTGGTGAGGACATTGAAAGTTGTCTCAAGCAGTTGGTTTTTGGCACTATTAGAAGATCTCTCCGAATGCAAATAGCCGAGGAGATGAACAGATATGGATACCTTGGCTCGTATGAGTGGAAGATTTTGGGGAGGATATTACTCATTGAGGTATGTGTCATTTATCTAGTAATTCATTATATATTACTCGCATGCATAGATGTTATTGATTCTGCGGTCATACTAGTGATTGCTTTTGTGCTGAAACTTGGGTTTTCTTGTGGAAAAGAGACTCTACCCTTCTGGTAGTTTTTGGAGAACATTTTGTGCCCGTCAGAAAGAGTTCATGAGAGTTCCAAGTATAAATTCACCTGAGGAAGTCAATCTGCGCCTATTGCGTTCACAATTCATAAGTCTTGTCATTGAATGTGGTGATATTGATGGAGTTGTGTTAGGCTCATGGACAAATGTCAATGAACATTCTGGTGATCCTGTGGTTGACGATGATAGCGCTCATGCTGGTTACTGGGCTGCTGCTGCGGTCTGGTCTGATGCTTGGGATCAAAGAACCATTGATCGTGTAAGTCACTCTTGAACTGTTTTCCTCTTAAAACTATGGTATTGTCTTTTTTGTTTCTTCTATGGCCTAGATTGGATGGTAATTGGCAGGAATGAGAGATCATGGACGAAGTTCCATTACCAGGATGAGATTTTCCATATATCCTTTCCTTTCATTATGGCTTGCATTTTTTTTTTTTTTGGGGAAAGACTATTAAGGATATTTACATCATTATTAGTGTTCTGGCAGAAATGTGAGAGTAGCACCGTCCAGGTGGGAATGAAATACCTACTCTCTGGAGGGGTCTCATTCCTAGAGGTATGAGATTCCTGCTAGCAATAGTGTGTATGAAACGTAGGAATGATGCATAACAAGAACGAGGTTCACATTCCTGTTTCTTGATTCCTACCATCCAAAGTAGCCATTCATGTGTAACTTGGGCTGGAACTAGGTTGGGAGGAAAATGATGACACTATGTCAGTATTTGGAGGTTGCCACTCCTGCCTTTTCTAACCCTGATTGATATTTTGCAACCAAGTGTAAATTTCACAGGATTATAGTTTTTAGTTTTTTTCCGATTAAGTTTTCAAGGAAACTATACAGAAGTTTGCAGGTGAGATCTTTCATTAGCCGTGGTTGTAGAGCAGTGAGAGGATGATTAATTTTGACTTGTATGCACAGAATAGTACCAGATGGTTCATTCTTTAGGAAGCAGTTGAGACAGTTTTTACTTGCTGAAAAAAAATTGAGGTTGTCTTTACCTTTACCTGGGATGTAGTATCAGCACATGTTCCATATCTCATCGCTTGAATGCATCTTTATAGCTTGATGATTTTATCGTATTGTTGTCCTTATCCCTTTTCTTCCTCTGTCACCAGCATAATGAAAAGGCCTAAAGGGTACACGTTATTCAGTTAACACCTATTGGCAACCTTATGAATGTATTTGATTTTGTCCAACTCTGTTCTGAGCAACTTCTTATGTGTTGTTTTTAGGAATGTGTATAATTAATTGAGCATGGAGAAGAAGATATATGTGACATAGCACAAATGGCAAACTAGAGGGGAACACTCAAAAACAGAAGGCATCTTCAATTGTTTCAATTTCTTTGATTGCAGAGAAAAGATTTCATCTTTGATCACACTAGTTGCACTCCTTTTTAGGACTGCAACGAGATAATTTTCCAACTCTCAGTAGGAGCTTTGACCCCATTTTTTCATTGAGTGAAGTGTATGAAATAAGTCAGATTGATTTTTCAACATGTGGTCTCTTGAACCATCTTCATATGTTTTGATTGAAGCAAGCATTTAAAAAAGCACCTTAATTCACACCATTTATAATAATTATGAGAGGGGGGCCTCTTGGATGGGTTGATTCTGCATCTAAATTATGTCTTTCGTTTTCTTTATTTTTTCGGTTAAGTGTGATATCATTCATGCATGTTGTATCTTCTTGTTTGAGTAGCAAATTTAAATTTGTTTTTTTGTCTGGTGAAAAATGATGCTTAATTTGAGTATATAACTTTCTTGCTGCACAGATAGTGCTGGATCAGCCTTTTCTTATGGGTGTTAATGTATTGTGGGAATCACAACTTGAGTATCATATGTGCCACAATGATTGGGTGGAAGTTTCCAAACTCTTAGATGTAATTCCATCATATTCATTATCCAGTGGAAGCCTTCAAATCACTTTGGATGATTTGCATTCTGCTTTAGCTGTTGGATGCGATGGGGGACTCACTGACTCTGGCAACTATACATATTCTGTTGAAGAGTTGGATGATGTGTGGAAGAATGTCCCAGGCGTCAGAATATTCAGATTTTCAGCCAACAATATGTGCTCCACATGGTTAAGAACATTTATGGAGCAGCAGCTCGCTAGGAAATTCATTTTCTTAAAGGAATACTGGGAAGGCACATCAGAGATAGTATCTCTTCTGGCACGCTCGGGCTTCATCACTAGCATGGATAGAATTTCATTCCTGGCTGAGTCGTTTGAGAGTTCATCAGATGGAGATTTGTCAATTACTAGTGGAGAAATTCACCCCGAAGTTGTCCATGCTTTACATAAACTTGTCATACATCACTGTGTGCAATATAATTTGCCTAACCTTCTGGACCTCTACCTTGACCACCACAAGTTGGCTCTAGATGATGGTTCTCTTTCTGTTTTGCTGGACGCTGCTGTAAGTTCACTTTTATTCAGTGAGCATTTCTCTTATGTCATGGTTGTTGGTGTTTTAGTGGCTAGAAACATTTTCTATATCTATTTAGGCCAGCTATATCTATTTGGGTGACTCGTACGCCTTAGTGTTCATGATCTCTTTTTTGTTAAGGAACCTGCTGATATTGGCAAAACTACAATTATTGTTAACTAAGGAAAATAATTCGTGGTAAAGACAGTTGTACTTATCATTTGTATGCCTGTTTGATTCGGAATCTACATATCAAGCATAGCAGTTGTATATTAATTGCACATGTTGACATTAACATGCCTATCACAAACAAGTGGATGGCCTAATTTGCTTGATAAACTGGGCTGGGGAAATATTAGATGCTCTATGATATTCATCTAGCAAGCTTTGTTATTCTATTACAAGATGTTAGAGAGACATTGTTTGAAGGTTTACTGCTTAAATCTTATAGAGAAAAGACAAGCTGGATAGAGATTAACATGCTGTCATATGTGTCTTGCATGGTTTCAAATGCATGGATTACCGTGACAATGGACTTCTCAAGTGGAAGTGGGACCATGGGACCATGTTGCAATGGACTTTGTGTCGGGATTACCAAGGACCACCAAAGGACATAATTTGATTTGGGTGATTGTGGATAGACTTACCAAGACAGCTCATTTATTACCGATAAAGACAATGGATACATTGGGGACTTTGAGTCAATTGTATATTCGTGAGATAGTTAGGCTTCATGGAGTGCCTCTATCAATTATGTCGGATCGTGATAGTAGGTTTGTGACCTGATTTTGACAGAGTTTACATAGATATTTGAGAACGGACAACACTGCTTTTCATTCTCAAATGGATGGACAATCCGAGAGAGTGATCTAGATTGTGGAATAGGTGTTGAGGGTGTGTGCCTTAGATTCCAAAGGGAGTTGGAGTGAGCCTCTACCGTTAGTGGAATTTTCTTACAACAATAGCTATCAGGTTAGTATTGAAATGACACCTTATGAGGCATTGTATGGGAGACCACGTAGATCACCGACATGTTGGGCAGAAGCCGGGGAGAGTAGTTTACTTGGGAACCACTGAGTCAAAAAAATCAATTGACGCAATAATGGATTATTTTTTAGCAATGTTAGGGTGGGGTTGGGGGTGGACTGTGGATTGGTAAGATGTTGCAAAATCCACATCACATGGGGCTATCGTTAGTAACATTATAACTATCCCTGACTACCGTTGGCACGACTAACTATCACATTCTTATACCACCTTGTAAAAATTTCATTTTTTAATTTGTGTTTCTATGTGTGCATGGGTTTTTGTGTGTTATGTGTATAGAGAGAGAGGGGTATAGGAGAAGGATGATGAAGAGGAGGAGAATGTTGTTTGGTTACTTTGTTTAACTGGCAAATGACGGTTAACTTTGTCCAAATAAGAAATAAGAGGTCTTTGAATCATGGTTCTAGTAACATTAAAATATGAATAAACAAAATTGAAGAATACAAACAAAGAGAATTTACATGGTTCGATCATCTACATTCACGTCCAAAACCTCGGCTACATATTATTATTTCTTGTTAATTGGTATCTCACATTGACCGGGAATTGAGGTAAAAAAAATTTAAATTGATTTCATCAATCTGAAGATAAGATCTTCTTCTTCCATAGTTATTTTCAAAACTTCAAGGTTGCAGTGTCATCAGCTTGAAGGGCACGCATGGGTTGTGGTGCAGTGGAATGACATTTGGCAATACGCACGAAATTCCAAATAAACAAAGAAATTAAATATGGTAAGAGATTTAGGTCATATCGCGATGTCACGGAATAATATTGGCCGATTTTGTAACAATGACTCGGGCAACTTGGATTGTCTCAAATGACTTCTCTTACGAATTGGCCGAGTTACTTGAGACTCGTGTTTACACGAACCGTGTCATGGTGTCGTAGATATCATATAAGAAGTTACCAAATTAGATACAACTCAGCCGAGTCATATTGATATTGAATGATATTTTGAACCATGGTTTGGATTGGGGTACATACATTTTGTGCAAATTGATAAGATTGTTACCGTGTAAGGTTTTGATTTTGATCCAAAACCAGTAGGGGGTTCTTCACCTATTTTTGAACTGTAGGGATAATGTAGTTTGGGGCCTTACCACGAGGTGGCATAAAGTAATTATCCCTATAGTTATTGTGTTGCTAATAGAAGATTGTCTCTCTTCAAATTTGGATTGTACATTTATATGTTGTGTACTTGGGGCACTTCACTATGCACTCCAAACCTTTGAACTTTGAGAGTATGTGCTCTACTGTTTTCCCTTCTCTGCTTCTTAGCATAGGGTGTGACATTGGATTTGAGCCGAGCTTCCATTTACTGGTGCATACCGTTTAGCTATTTGAAAACTTGGACAAATGTAAGAATAATCCCTATACTCCCGCGGCTGTTTTTCGAGATGACTCTTGTGCTTAAGTGGTAACTTAATCCTTTATGTTGACAACTGATGCAATGATTTTGATGATTGGATCGATGAATCTGTATGATGGGTGTCTGTGTGCTTCAGAATGCTTATCTGCATAGGGATGGAAAATTGGGTTAATGAGACTTTGTTCTTTCTGCAAATGGAACGTCTGGTTTAACTGAATCAATGGCCCGACATGATAGAAAGGTGAAACAGTCTCTATGCTGCCAACTCCCAGTAACGGACGTTTGGTCCAATGGTATTCCTTACCTTTGTCTTCTTGAGGTCAAGAGTTCAAGTCCCCCTCCCCCAAAAAAAAAAAAAAAATTTTAAAAAAAGAAGATAAAAAAGGATATACTATAATTTTGCTGTGTGCAGGATTTTAGCGGCATGCTCAGTTAAATGCTCATTGAAGCTTTGTGTGATTACTAAACATGAATTTAAACTTGGAAATATCTAAATTTTTCGAAGCAGATATGTTGTTTCCGACTATAGTAGGTGAAAACAGCAGCATAATTGCGTTGGGCCTCAGCTTTATAACAGAACGTGTTCTTCTTTCCTATCTTTTTTTTTTGGACAAATTCCGCTGAAGATTTTTCCCAGCACCATGATCCTATCACCTTATATAAAAGAAGAAGATGGTTGAGCTAGTCTTCTTGGGATCAGAAGAAAGTTGTTCTGCTATTGTTACTATTAACAAAAGATGGAAACAATGCAATGGATTCTTGATTAGGTAATTGTAGCATGAATTGGTCCTCCTTGTTAGATCCAAGCAAGTTATATTTTTTTCATTTCTGGAATTATTGTGCAATGGATTACATTTACTAAATGCTATTCTTACCCTTTCACGACCATGTATCACACCAGGTTTTTTGTTGAGGATTGTTTTGCCATTGATTGCCACATATATAATTATTAATAAAGACTTCATTTAAGTTTGAAATAATCTATACCTTTAGGCACGATGCAACATTAAATCCGAGGCCCGACTAATCATTCAACAAGTTGCGGAACAGAATAACATAAATAAAAAATGGAGTAATGGTAAGAAGGATCATGCCATGCATCAAAAGAAGAAAAGACTTTGACGCTCGTGACAAGGCATCGAGAATGAGAGAATGGCTTTTCATTGTACAAAATTGTATGGTGAAAAAATAGCATTTCATGCCTTCCCCATCTTCATTACGGTGGTAATGGAGTGTCTAATAAAAAAGGTGGGGGGGTTAAATTTTGAAGTCCCTGACAGGCTGACAGCACTTAGTTTCCCAGAAAGAATGGTTACCATTTTATATTCCCAGAAACCATAAATCAAGAATAATATATTTATTTGTGAAAAGTTGATTTTAGCTTGAAGTAGCACTTCCCTCCAGCTTGCCTTCTTGCTACACGTAGGATATCATGCTTATGAGATTTCAGACTTAAATGAAGTCTCTATTAATCTATATAATAACGGAGCTAGGCATTTGAATTTTATCCCCGCATATTTTTCTCACCCATTTCTATTGCAGGCTTTTTTTTGGGCACCAGCCATTTTTATTACAAGTTGAATCATTTAATTTTTGATTAATTTATCGCTCAATATAATTTTTATTTCTGACATTGTCCAAATACGATAGTGTACACATGTTGTATTTTGAGAAAATTTTGTTAATGTATGGTATCTTTTCAGGGAAATTGCGAATGGGCAAAATGGTTGGTCTTTTTAAGGGTTAAGGGACATGAATATGATGCATCATTCTCTAATGCCCGTGCGATTGCATTACGTAATTTAGTTCCCGATAATAAACTCGTTGTCACTGAGATTGATGATATTATTCGTACTGTTGATGACATTGCCGAAGGAGCAGGGGAAATGGCAGCTTTAGCCACCTTAATATACGCCCCTTTCCCAATTCAAGATTGCCTGAGCAGTGGTAGCGTAAGCAGGCATTGTAGCACCTCAGCCCAATGCACATTGGAGAACCTTAGGCCAGTTTTCCAACGCTTCCCAACACTCTGGCGCACACTTGTGTCGGCATGTCTCGGACAAGATCCAACTTGCAACTTTCTGGGCCCAAAAACCAAAGGTTAGTTTGTGCCACCTTATGTTCTTTTGCTTCCCTCTTATTATTATGGATGCGATGATTGCTTTTTATTTCATAATATCTTTTGTGCTGGACTATATGCAGTGTTTAGTAATTCTGATTTGTCAGACTATCTGAATTGGCGTGACAACATATTCTTCTCTGCTGGGCGTGATACCTCACTTCTTCAAATGCTGCCATGCTGGTTCTCTAAGTCTATTCGGAGATTAGTTCAGCTATATGTCCAGGTTACTTGTGAGACTAGACATGTCACTAAACTTTGCTCGTCTTGTATTTTGATTGAAATCCATCTTGTTTGCTGTATTTGTAGACAATCTTTGGCAGAGTTACTGGCTGAACTTTGTGCCAGAGTTGATTTTTTTTATTGAATTTTCTTGTCCTAATGCACTCCCAAATATAGTGTTCATCAATTCTCACTGCTGATGCCTCTTACCTTTAAATCTTTATGATTTTCATATTCTTACTCTGTCAATGCAGGGTCCTCTTGGTTGGCAATCTCTAGCGGGCCTGCATACTGGAGAATCTTTCTTACTTGGGGACATCAATTATTTGGTTAATGCTGATGTACATGCTGAGATCAGTCCCATGTCCTGGGAAGCTGCAATCCAAAAGCACGTTGAAGAGGAACTTTATGCCTCTTCTCTAGAGGTGTGTGATAATCTTTATCTCAGATGCTCAATTTTTTGTGTTGAAGACATTTCAACTTTGGGATTTCCAGATGAGCAGTTAAGGAGAGTACTTGACAAATTGTTTGATTGTCTGAACCTAAGTAGATTGTGGTTATACTGTATTGTGGAGATGCTATTTACTCCCTTCCTCTTTCTGTTCTCTTTGGGTTGAACTTTGGGTCCTGAATCTTGATCTTGTTGTAATGTAGTCGCAATTGAATGAATTTCTAAACAGCATTTTGACAATCTAACGTGGTGTGCATGGTTTAGAGGGAGCAAATGTGTAGTTTAGAGGACACGGTGTTTATGCTTCACTATCTTTGGAAAGTAGAGGACATTTTCTTATTTATGCTATTGGACTTTTTGTAAATCTTACTATCGCCCCAAGCAACCACATTATAGATTGTGTAAGGGATTATTAAAAAATGAGAACCTTACTGGCAGGTCTTGAACTCCCTTGCATGACAATAAAAGCAGGAAAACTAGAACTGGTTGACTTTCGTGTTTTATTTTAAATTTGTTTTTTGGGTTTTGTAAGTTTTCCTTGGCTTTCATAGAAATTCACTTTCAACATAAGCATCCTTCTGTGTAATATCATTTCTTCTAGTTCTTATGCAATGTAATCGGCTAATATTGTGTGATCTGTGCGTGTTGCTTGCATTTTCTAGGTGCTCATATAGCTACGTGTCTTGACTTCAGTCATCTGTCTTTTCTGATTTGAAGATATCCTCTTCTAATTTATGTTGGAATCAGGAAATTGGACTTGGACTTGAGCACTACTTGCATCGTGGTCGTGCGTTGGCAGCTTTTAACCATCTACTTGCTGCTAGAGTTCAAAAGTTGAAATTGGAAAGCAACATTGAAGGGCACTCTGGCGCTTCAGGACATGGGCAAACAAATATCCAATCTGATGTGCATACACTTCTTGTGCCTATAACAGAAAGCGAAGAGTCTCTTCTTTCCTCTGTATGGACAACTTTTCTTTAAATACATATACCTTGAGTGATTAGTATGTGCTTATTAAATTTGCAGTTTTGTGGGCTGTTCATTATGTTTTCTCTATACAGTAATTACTTGGTGCTCTGCCTACTTTTATTGAAGAGATTAGTGACATTTTCATATATTTTTGAACCAAGTCTTGTTCAGCAACTGCAGTTTTTTTTAGTTACAATTTCCCATTTTTAAGTTGTGGGCTGGGGTGGGGGGCAGGGAATAGGATGTGCTCTGGAATTTGGTTGCAGTGGTATGTTGGATGTGGGGATTAACATGGATCAAACTTGATCAAAGCCCAGTGACTTTGAATAATTTTATATTATGTCCGATTTGAATCATTGTGTTTGGAGTATAATGAGTATGACTCGTACCATCTGCATTGGGAAGTGTACTGTGAATTAGGCTTATAGCCTTATACTGGACAACGAGTTGAGAGCTAAAATGTGATAGGCTGGTATGAGATTCATGACTGGTTTACAAATTTAATGAGTAGAGGGGCCAGAAAAAATGAGGAAGGAAAAAATATAATGCACATATTTTTGTGTACCTTTTTAAACACCTTTTATGCATGGTTTGAGCTTACAATAGCTTATGCAATAGCATTATATGATGAATAATTCAAACATTGAGATTTTGATACATGTTCATGGTTTATAGAGAGCACAGCTCATGATCTTGTCTTTTATGTGTGCATGAAGCTCTTATGAACAAAAAAAAAATAATATAACAGTCATGTTGCTTTTATATTAGTCATTCTCTGAAAATTTGTCTCACTTTTATACGTAGGTCATGCCACTTGCTATTCTGCATTTCGAGGATTCTGTGTTGGTGGCTTCATGTGCTTTTCTTTTGGAGCTGTGTGGTTTATCTGCCAGCTTGCTTCGAATCAACATTGCCGCTTTGAGACGGATATCTTCTTTCTACAAGTCTAGTCATTCTTCTGATCACTTTAGGCAAATTTCAATAGGGGGCTCAGCATTTCATTCAATATCCCTTGAGGGAGATGTTACAGATTCTCTAGCTCGGGCATTGGCAGATGATTATCTACATGATGATGGTGCTGGCGTCATTAAACCAAAAGAAAGAACAAATACATTTACTAACAGACAACCATCCCGAGCTCTCATGCTTGTCCTCCAGCATCTGGAGAAGGTGAATCTTTCGATTTTGGCTGATGGCACCACCTGTGGGTCTTGGCTATTGAATGGCAATGGTGATGGAGCTGAGCTAAGGTCTCAGCAAAAAGCTGCAAGCCAGCACTGGAATTTAGTTACAGTTTTTTGTCAAATGCACCAGATTCCCTTGAGCACCAAGTATCTTGCTTTGTTAGCAAGAGACAATGACTGGGTATTTCTTTATACTTATCCAGTTATTTGGATGAGTGATAATCAGTGATATAATGAACCCAGAATTAAAGGTTTAAAGTTGCAATTTTGTTTTTCTGTTAGGTTGGGTTTTTATCAGAAGCTCAGGTTGGAGGATATCCTTTTGAAACAGTTACACGAGTGGTAAGCTTCATGTTCCTTTTAACATTGTCTTTTGCTCCTTATCTGATCCTTTACAAATTATTGCCAACTATATATGCTATTGCTTCCCTTATCAACATAAAGATGAACCAGTCATTTTCCTTTTATATTTTTTAACTTGTCATGTTTCAGGCATCAAAGGAATTTAGTGATCCGCGTCTAAAAGTTCACTTATTAACAGTTTTAAAAGGTATGCAATCTAGGAAAAAGATCGCCTCTTCCTCAAACTCAGATATTACAGAAAGTAGGTGTGAAACATCCTTGTCAGATGAAAAGACTTATATCCCTGTTGAGCTTTTCGGAATTATAGCTGAATGTGAGAAGCAGAAAAATCCTGGAGGGGCCCTTCTGGTAAAAGCAAAGGATTTATGCTGGTCAATCTTGGCAATGATTGCATCATGTTTTCCAGATGCGTCTGCATTGTCCTGCCTAACAGTTTGGCTGGAAATCACTGCAGCAAGGTGGGATCAGATTATCTAGATAAGACAATGGTCCATCTGTTTCTTTTTTTATTTTCCATGCTTCTAAATTGCCATTTTCAGCCTACATACTGAAGTCAATTTATTTGGGGTTTTGTTCTTGTATCCACTTTATACATATCGTCTGTATGTTATTTCTTTCTAGGGAGACTTCATCCATCAAGGTGAATGACCTTGCTTCCCAGATTGCAAATAATGTTGAAGCAGCAGTGCGGGCTACTAATTCCCTGCCATTGAGTGGTAGAGCTCTAGCATTTCACTACAACCGTAGGAATCCAAAACGCCGAAGGCTTATGGAGCCTATGTCGGTTGATCCGGTACGAACCACAGTGTCGGATATATCTGCTACTTTAAGTAGCACAAAAATATTTGCTGCCCAAGACACTACTGCTGAAGAAGAAACAAAAGAACAAGCTGGTGAACATTCTAAAGTTTCAAGTGATTCTAACGAAGTTCCTGTTTCTTTATCAAAAATGGTTGCAGTGCTTTGTGAACAACGCCTCTTTCTTCCTTTGCTGAGGGCTTTCGAATTGTTCCTTCCATCATGTTCTCTATTACCTTTCATCCGTGCTCTTCAGGTTTGTTTATGTATGGTGCACTTTGACAGCTAAGCATAATATTTTTGTTTTGTTTGACTAGTGCATTATAGCTCATTAACCAAACTTAATTAGGCGTTTGGTTTATCTCCATTACTCTTGAAATTGCAAGAGACCTTCTTCTCTCCTATATGATCTGAGTTTCTTGGATGCAAAATTAACGCTCCCATCTTCCTCTGACTTATTCCTGTCCAATTGACTGCCATATATCTCTCAATTTCTCTGGAGGAAGGCTGCAGGTTCCAGTGCTACAAACTGCCCATCAGCCATTTAGCTAAACCATTCATCCTGCCATTGGTCTAATTTGGAAAATACAACTCTACATAACTCAACTCAACTCAACAAAGTATTGTCCTAACTATAGGAGGTCGGCCTTGAATTCTGTTTTTCCATTGTTTTTCTATCAAGTACCATGTTTTCTTAGGTTCTCAGCTAATTTCAATCTACCTCCTTGCCTTATATGACCATCAATAGGTATCACATCACTCTTCCTATGTGCAGTAATGGATCTTCTACAAGCATGTCCAAATTGCTAACTCAATTATCCCTTAATTTGTCTCCTATAACTACTACTTCTATCATTTCACAAATATGATCTTTCTTAGTTATATCATTTATTCATTATTTCTGCCACATTTGGTTTTTGAGCATGTAATTTCTTAGTTGCTCAACATCCAGATGTATTTCTCCGCATAGTATATCATGCTTTGGTTCTATGGTGACATTGTTTCCAATCTAATCCTCCCTATGAATAATAGACCCCAAATATCAAATGCGTTCACTCTTTGATATCTGCTATTTACTAAAATTGAAATAGAGAAAAGTAAAATTACTATTTGTTGCATAATACTGGAAAGTTTGATCCATAAGATCACTTAGAGGATATGACTTCTTCCTCATTGTAATTCCATGTTGAATTTTCTGCTTTTAGTATCTTTATGAGCTAAGATATGTCTTCAGTTTCCAAGTTTCACCATTTTCAGAATGCGTACCAAATCATTCCAAAAGGATTTGCAGATTAATACCTCAGTCTAGGTTGGTCAATTTTCTTGAATATAAGCAATCAGTTACACTCGTCTACTTTTTGGTTAATTATAACCACCATTTGGAATCCAAGCTAGTTTTCCCATGTTAGTAAGGCTTAAGAGATGACCTTTTTGAGACTCTCAATTATTTGTTTGTGACTACTACATAAAGGCTTAAAAATACCTATTCATTTTTATTTACATGTTTTGTTGGCTGTGTTTGGAAAAATAAGTTCATGTAACATACTTTATCAAGTACTTTTGCTTACGTAATATTGTCTTGGGTTCTCAGCTGAATAGTTTCAAGTCGATTCTGTAAATCTGAGTTGATGTGGTTGAGTTAATGAGCTGTCTTAATTTTTTACTGGCTTGATTCTGGATAAGCATTCAGAAAAGGAATAATTGATGGATTCTATTAAGTGTGAACTTCAATTCATCTTTTAAACTCTTCCATTTCCAGGCCTTTTCACAAATGCGTCTATCTGAAGCTTCTGCTCATCTTGGATCATTTTCTGCTCGAATTAAGGAAGAGCCTTTCCATGTACAAACAAACATGGGAAGAGAAGGGCAGATTGGGACATCATGGATAACCTCCACTGCTGTGAAAGCTGCTGATGCAATGCTTTCAACATGTCCATCACCTTATGAGAAAAGATGCTTATTACAGCTACTTGCTTCAACCGATTTTGGTGATGGAGGATCTGCTGCAACTTATTATCGACGACTTTATTGGAAAATCAATTTAGCAGAGCCTTCATTGCGCAAAGATGATAATCTACATCTAGGAAATGAGTCTCTAGATGACTCTTCACTTCTAACTGCGCTAGAAAAGAATGGACACTGGGAACAGGCACGCAATTGGGCCAGGCAGTTGGAGGCTAGTGGTGGACCTTGGAAGTCTGTTGTACATCGTGTTACTGAAACACAGGTATATTTACTCATTATAACTCCACCTATATTGCAGCATGTTGTTAAATTTTTCATAAAGTCTCTCCCCAATCTCTTCCCCATTTTCCACTGTTGCCTCAGTTCTTTCCCCTGATTCTGTAAGTGTCTGTGAAGGGTGCTTTTGAAGTAATGCCTTAGTTTTCACATTCCTCATTACCGCACCGATCCTTGCTAAACTGTTTCAATAAGTTTGCATGATTGCATGCTATGGCATCGTGGTACATCCTTGCTCCATGGTATGGGGCTGTTGGAAGTTTTGGCTGCTTTGTGGAGAGGAGAGATCGCCAAAAATTCTGTGACTTAAGTATCTGAAAATTTGCATTTGGATGTGCTGTTTACAGCAAGGGGCTTTCTTGTTATTAATAACATGGTCCTCTATGATTTTTCCCAAGTTCATGATAAGTTTTTGTGCTATAAGACTGGAATGTCTTACTATTTTATCAGTAGTTGGTCTTTTCTAACTAACTAGTAGGCTTCTGTAAAATCTTCAATTAAAAATTGAACATTATACTTAGAAGATATTTATATTAAGCGGTAAGGGTCCTTTCCAAAATAAAGAAACTGAAGTAGCTGAGTTCCTCAAGTTAGAAGCTTCCAACCTATCTCATTCTGCTGCTTTGGTCTCACTGTCAGTTGTTTTTTTGGGTACATTTACTACTTTGTCCTTGTTTTATAGATATGAATTCCTGAATAGATTTATGGCATATAGCTGAATTCAGTAAATTTATTCAAATGTTAATTTATAGGATTGGTTGTGCTAGTCATTTTTCAGGAAAAAAATATTGAAGGATAGAGAGAGTTGAATATGTAGGCATAGGTGATGGTAAACTCCTCTTTCTGGTAGTAGAAGGGAAGCTCGTTAGGTTATCTCGTGCGGTAAGAAAAAGTGCAAGTTACTTCTAAGAGCGACTGTAGCCTTTCTCATGTAGCACTCAATTCTACCGATAAAAACACTTAAAGCCTTTTGTTGAGATGTTTTCGAAGGAGAACAAGAATGAAACAAAACAGGGGAACTCACAGATAAAAGAGTCTCCCGCGCCCATTACACTCTCTTAGACTTCCTAATTGTCTTTAAGCACACGTCACTGCTCCTACTGTTAGATTCAGTAAACAGCACAGGGGACCAAAATCAAGAAGTCATCCACTGCGCCCCGAACACTCCCCAAGGGGGAATGATTTTTTTTTTTGATATAATATAAATATTAGTAAGAGATATAAGAGGCAAAAGAAATATAGGTGGAGGACAACATATTCTCAAAAGAGAGAAGAAAGGATCTTTCAACTCTTGAAATATTAGTTTTTGAAGAGAGCTTGTATCCCACATCAAAAAATTAAGTAGATCCAAGGTTGGTTTATATACTTAAAGACGACTCCACTCATTGCCAATTGGTTTTGGGTTGGATGTTGTAACATGGTAGTTGAGCTTGGTCGGGGGTGGTTGGTGAGTCAAAGTCACTCAACCAATTGATTTCCACAACCTATTTACTTGTCTGTTTCGGTTGGCCCTTAGCTTGTGTTTTCTGTTTTGCTTTAGTTTGGTTTGTTAGCACCCATGCAAGCCCGGGTTGCACGTGAGGGAGGGTGTGAAGAGACTCAAGAGAGCTTGTATCCCATAGCAGAAAATTAAGTAGACCCAAGGTTGGTTTATAAACTTGAAAGACCACCCCCTTATTGCCAATTGGTTTTGGGTTGGATGCTCTAACAAGTCTCAATTCAACTCAAACCAACAAAGCATTGTCTCAACTGTTTGGGGTCGAATTGGTGAATTTAGTTTCATCAATGTATAGTCTCTTTTTCAACATTCATCTAACAGGTTCTTTCTATAAGACCCTGATATAACTCCTCGAAACTACCCAAAAAAAAATTTGGTTCATTTTTCTAGTGGCGTTCACATTAAGCCAAAGGTCCCATTTGGGAAAAAATGAAAACTTATACAATCTCACACCTATTTTTTAGTTATTGTTTTGGCATTAAACCCTGTCGTTTTCTTACTATTGTATTTCTTTTTGATTTCGTCTCGGATTTTAAATAATTAAAATTTGCTTCTTCAAGTTTAATAATGTTATGGAGATTAATAAATATCCTAAAGTTAGTATTTGAGATTTCTAAATTGTCCCCTCAATATTACTAACCTTGAACCTGTGTAGAAGTTTTGAACATTGCCTCTCAATTGATTCATTCACTTCTGATTCTTCTCCTTGCATCATCATGTTTTCAACTCCAAAACCCCATTCCAACTGCTCAGTTGGCAGACATGGGGTTCAATTCCGTTAGCACTCCAGTCTAACCATTTTCAGATTATTCATTATAGCTACAGGCAAACTTCTCTTACTCTCTTTAGGGTATAAGATAATGAAAGTGGTCAGTTTGAATGTTTCTAGTTGTCATTTTGTTTTGTTGTCACTGATCTTTTTCTTCTATTGTTACTCTTAAAGTATTCGGACACAACTATATCGTTAACTTTTTATGTCCTTTGTTATGCAGCAAGCACAAGTTTCGTTCTTTTGCCAAGTGTTATACAATATTTTCTGTGTTCTGATTTTATTTATGTTGCATCTTTATGATGCCTACTCTCCTCCCCCCCCCCCCCCCCCAAAAAAAAAAAAATGTCAATTCTAGGCCGAGTCCATGGTAGCAGAGTGGAAGGAGTTTCTTTGGGATGTCCCAGAAGAGAGAGTTGCTTTATGGGGCCACTGCCAGACACTGTTCCTCAGATATTCCTTCCCAGCATTGCAGGTGTGTTTTATTCATTACCTGCAAAAATTGCTGAGCAGTGAAACAAAGTTGTGTTTTTGTTGCTTTTATATGTACTACTTTTTTACATGCTGTTGGTTCAGGCAATTGCTTATTATTTGCTGAGATGTACTGCTGTTATTTTGTTGTAGGCCGGATTATTCTTCCTTAAACATGCAGGATCTGTGGAGAAAGATCTTCCAGCAAGAGAGCTCCATGAACTGTTGCTTCTTTCTCTACAATGGTTAAGTGGGATGATAACGCAGTCCAACCCGTAAGTGATTTCACCCAAATCTATATTTCTTCACATTTTCGTATAAAATTTGTCCTTTTAACCTGTGCACTGAATATTTCAGAGTTTATCCATTGAATCTTCTGAGAGAAATTGAGACTAGAGTTTGGTTACTAGCGGTAGAATCAGAAGCTCAGGTAAAGAGCGAAGGAGACTTTACCTTAAACAGTTTTATCCGGGAACCTTGGGCTGAAAAGGGTTCCAATATTATAGACAGCACTGCAAGTATTATTACAAAAATGGACTCTCATATAGCAGCAAGGATGAAAGCTACCGAGAGGAGTGATGCAAGGGAAAATATCCAGACATATCATAAGTTCGCCCAAGTTGTAGATGCTAGCTTTTCAACTACATCAGGAGTGAGCACAAAGACCAAACGGAGAGCCAAAGGCTTTGTGCCATCAAGACGGCCTTTAATTGATGCAGTGGATAAAACCCCGGAATCTGAAGATGGTATTCTTCCCCTCAATCCTAGAAGCGACTTGCATTTGCAAGATGAAAACTTTAGAATTGAAGCATCTTTTTCAAGGTGGGAGGAAAGGGTTGGACCTGCGGAGCTGGAGAGGGCTGTTCTTTCTTTGTTGGACTTTGGACAGATCTTAGCTGCCAAACAACTCCAACATAAGCTTTCTCCATCGCACATTCCATCTGAAGTCCTACTTGTTGATGCAGCTATGAAGCTTGCTTCTATTTCAACGCCTGGTGGCGAGATATCCATATCAATGTTGGATGATGAAGCGTATTCTGTTATTCAGTCATACAATTTAGCCACTGACCGCCATTTGATTGTCCCACTACAGGTTTTAATTATAATCATTTTCTTGTTTCTTTTCACTTAAGTTCCTGCATGCATCTAAGTGTGACATATGCAAGACAGCTCACTTGCACATCATTTCCTCCCAATGTTAAGGAATTGACCATTATCATCCACTAGTTTCAAAGTTGCCATTATTTTGGCCAGATTTGGTATATTTAATTGTAGACTGGTTTTTTGTGCACCATATTTCGAAATGAAAGTGTATTAACCTGCCCTATTATAAGCTTTTTGTGATTTCTCCCTTTCTTTTCTTTCTATGGGATCTTCTGCTATTTGATGTATGCATGTTGAGTTTGATTATCCTTTTTCTGACCTTATGCAATTTCTTTTGCTACTGTAGGTATTGGAGAGTTTAGCAACCATGATTGTGGAAGGTAGAGGCCGTGGACTATGTAAGAAAATTATATCAGTAGTGAAAGTTGCAAATGTATTGGGCCTTTCATTTTCCGAAGCATTTGAAAAGCTGCCAATTGAACTGCTACAGCTGCTTTCTCTTAAAGCACAAGATTCTTTCGAGGAAGCAAAGCTCCTTGTGAAAACACATTCTATGCCAGCTGCTAGTATTGCTCAAATTCTTGCAGAATCCTTTTTAAAGGTGACTTTTTCTTTTGCACAGAAATCTATTGCATAAGCATGTTGATTATTTCAACTCATTTGGTGTACATTTGGCATCTGTGATGGGGTAAGAAAGATACCTATGGTCTCGGTAGGACAATTGAGTGGGCATCTACTTGGTTTATGACTCCATACATAATTCAGATTCATTTTAGTGTTCGAACATCGTCTCCCTGATTGGATCATACAGGATTATGCATTTTGATTTAGGTTTCATGACTTGGACAATTCCATCTGTTTTTATGTTGGGATCGGACTTGTTTTAATGAGTTAAAAATTAAAACTTGACTAATTACTCTGATACATTCCAGGGTTTATTAGCTGCACATCGTGGGGGATATATGGATAATCAGAAAGAGGAAGGACCTGCTCCTTTACTATGGAGGTTCTCAGACTTCTTGAAGTGGGCCGAGCTTTGTTCCTCAGAACCAGAAATTGGCCATGCATTGATGCGTTTAGTGATTACAGGACAGGAAATACCACATGCCTGTGAGGTACTATTGTGGTTGGGATAGTTGCTGTCAATTTAAAATTATAAGCTTAACATGGATAAATGAATCCAGTTCCTGTTGTATTTTTTAATCAACATTTCAAAATCTCCCCATCTCCGTCATGTTATTGAAGGCTTGATTATCAAGTAAACTTCACCATATGATTATATGTATGGATATCTAACTACCCCTATTTACTTAAATCAAAGATTGTTATATCGTTAGCTCCTCTAGAAAATAGAAGGAACATCTAGCCATTTGAGTTGTTTCTTGACACTGTCATCTCGGTTAGATGGGGACACTTACTCTTCCCTGAAATATGATGTTACAGGTTGAGCTTCTTATTCTATCCCACCACTTCTACAAGTCTTCAGCTTGCCTTGATGGAGTTGACGTTCTTGTAGCTCTTGCAGCCACCAGAGTGGATGCGTATGTTTCAGAGGGTGATTTTCCATGTTTGGCTCGCCTGATTACTGGAGTTGGAAACGTCCATGCCCTTAATTTCATTCTTGGAATTCTTATTGAAAATGGTCAGCTGGACCTTCTTCTTCAAAAGTATTCAGCTGTTGCTGACACAAACACGGGCCCTGCTGAGGCTGTCAGAGGATTTCGAATGTCAGTTCTCACATCACTGAAGCAATTTAATCCAAACGATCTGTATGCATTTGCCATGGTTCGTGTTTTTCTATAGTCTCTGAATACACTTTTTTTATGTTTTGTAAGCAGTTGTCTGAAAATAATTACTGATTCGTTTCGGCCATTCCGTAACGAAATTTTAATCCCCGTCATATTTTTCTGCAGCATTACTATCTATGTACCTGGCTGTATAGTACACATAATGTTTGTTATTGAGGAGGGTTTCAAATCAAGTCTCATTGGCTGACACCATGACTTTGATACTAGGCTTTTGATGATCCTTGCCATGTTATCCATCTACCTTGAACTTAGTTTGAAGGCTTTCCAAAATATCAGATGTTTGGAATGTTTCTAATCACATTTTCTTAGAGTGAGGCAGTTTCCTAGACAGGTGGTCCAAATATTTTGATGCATTTTTTACATGTGGGTGCACACATAGCAAGTAACAGTGCACGATGCCAGTCTCTTTTTATCGGTTGTGAACTTGACCATTCTGACAACTATATTACAAGCACAAACAGTCTGCACAACAATAATTACTAAGTGTCATTTCACGGTGTGGATGGTGTAATTCAACCTTTATCTTTTCTATTCTTGAGGACATTCATTTCTCTAATGCCAAAGAAGCTCAAAATAGCTTATTAACTTCTTCTCTACTTCCATAAAATAATAACATTGCCGTTTTCCTCCTGCAGGTTTACAATCACTTTGACATGAAGCATGAAACAGCCTCTCTTCTGGAATTGCGAGCTGAGCAATCATCTCAGCAGTGGTTCTTACGTTACGACAGGGACCAGAATGAAGACCTCCTAGAATCAATGCGCTATTTCATTGAAGCTGCTGAAGTTCACTCTTCTATTGATGCTGGCAACAAAACACGTGCCGCTTGTGCACAAGCATCCCTTGTCTCTCTTCAGATACGAATGCCAGATTTCCAGTGGCTCAATCTCTCTGACACTAATGCACGACGAGCACTAGTTGAGCAGTCCCGTTTCCAAGAGGCACTGATTGTTGCTGAAGCCTATGGTCTTAACCAGCCTAGTGAGTGGGCCCTCGTACTTTGGAATCAAATGCTTAAACCAGAGCTTATTGAAGAGTTTGTGGCTGAATTTGTTGCTGTTCTTCCTCTCCAGCCCTCAATGCTTGCTGAACTTGCAAGATTTTATAGGGCTGAGGTGGCAGCCCGGGGGGATCAATCCCATTTCTCAGTTTGGCTGACGGGGGGAGGGCTTCCAGCAGAATGGGCGAAGTATCTAGGAAGATCATTTAGATGCCTGTTAAAGAAGGCTAGAGATTTGAGATTACGGGTGCAGCTGGCCACTGTGGCAACTGGTTTTGGCGATGTTATTGATGCTTGTGTGAAGGTACTGGATAAGGTCCCTGACAATGCTGGGCCACTTGTGCTAAGAAAAGGGCATGGAGGTGGTTACCTCCCTCTGATGTAAACTACCGACTCTGGTGGATATAACAGAGATGTTCTTTTGTGACATGATGTTGATGATCACGGCATGATAGGTCAACAATGAAGATGATGATGGTGATGATAAATTCCCGAGACTCCATTACGAAGAGGTCAACATGTATCGTGTGAATATTAGGTATAGTTGGAGATTAGATAAAGGGTTGGTTTAATAGATTTTGCTCCTATTCTTTTTTCCTTTTCCCTTTTGAGCTTCACAAGCAGCAGAGGGTACCTGGAAGAAAATACAGGTAGTTTAGTTCAATGTGAGCGATGTCTTGGGAAGACTTGTGATTTTGACACTTATATTTTTTCCCCCCAAGTCTTTTGAAATCAGGGGTGAGTTTAATGCGTGTGTTGGGTGTTATTGTTTCTGTAGCAGATGTACATTATTTTTTCACAAGGTTGTACATATTTTTATCAATGAATCTGTTCCTACTTGGTTGATTTTGTTTTCATCTTCATTTTGATATTTAAGTTTATATTTTTAATTAGGTTAATTTCACTTTATACCTCTAAAGATGTTTCAATTCTCAATTTGTACCATCAAATATTAAAAATATTAATTTACACTCTTAATGTTATGCATTGGTACTAATGTGGACCTCGCATAGGTTGTTGTTAAGTGCTTCAAGTGTGGGCTTATGTGTAAATTTATTGGCTGTTAGACGTTTTATATGACTTGCACATGATAATGTTAGCTTCTATCTAATTAATGCAATCATATTTTTGATACACAAAAAAGTGTCAAATTGATCGCAGATAAAGAATTGTAGTGATGAATATACTTCATTTTTATGTCTGAAGCATTTGTATCTCGCGTGTTTTAATTTATGACAAAAAATTAAACGACAGTCTTGATCAGTTTTACATTGTTATCAATTCATAACATTGAGAATGTAAATTGAGATTTCTAATATTTGAGAATGTAAATTAAGAATCGAAGCATCTTTCGAGGTGTAAATTGAGATTAGCTTTTTTTAATTTATGGTTTTATTGGAGCTCAAATTTGTGGTTACAGCTCATGATTATTATCAGCAAGTATGTATCAATTTTCCGAGAAGTATACGGTTCTTGTTTGTAGTTCAAATTTGGAACCAAGTGCAGACCAAGGAGACTTTACCACTTGTAAAGCAATGCAGTGTGATTTGAATTACAGCACTAAACTATGGAGTAGCATGTATAAAAGACCTGATGCAAATCCCTTGGAGTTGCTCTGGTATAGTATGGTTAGGTAATTTGGGCATGCTTTAATCATGTATTGGTTCAATGGTCGAATAACGGACGAAGTCGAATAACGGACGAAGTGTAAATTTATATGTCCAATATTTTAGTTTCTCTAGCCCAAGGATCGAAATTTCGTTTCGAAGTACCGTTTCGATCATCTAAATTTCCGAAACGATTCGGAAACGTTTTGGAAATGCAATGGAAACGCGAAAAAAATATGGAAACGCGTGGAAACACAAATACAATCCATTAATCTATATCTATAAAGATAAGCTAAATAATTGATTAATTCAACATATTTATTGACTTAACATCCATTTATAGAAGAATAAATTTAAATTGGAGGAAAAAAAAGACTTGACATGAGGCGAAAATCACTTAAATTAGTTTTAAACACTTAAATTTTTATCAAATAAACACATTTTTATATAATATTAAGATCTCATAATACACATGAAATGCTAATGAGTACATACTTACATGGCTACATCCATCCCCCTGTGGAGTGTCGAGCAGGCTCATACATTGGTGTAGGCTCTGGGTAGCTACTTAGAGAAACTCTATATGTGACATAAATATGATGACAATAGTTACTCCAACTCATATTATTACGATAATATGAATTATATTCTCTTCCAAACCTCTGATAGTCTGCAACACTACATCCAATCTGTTGGGGAACGAATGCACCAGTCCCTGACCAATCTTTATCTTGTCTATATGAGGAGGATGTCTGGGAGTCATAGCCAGATCCATAACCATATGTTGAGGATCCATATTCGTATCCTCGTGTGTCATACCCCGATCCATAATCATATGAGGGAATACCATATCCAAAACCATAACCATATGAAGACGACGAACCATAATTATGGTGTTCACTTCCACTTCCACTTCCACTTATACTCATGGTAGAAAAACCATCATTAATCATATCAGTTCCATGCCTAATAGCACCCATACCATGTGGAGTGATCGGATTTTGAGTACGCTCACGTTGACAATCTCGAGTTGATTTTGAGCGTCGTTCATATTGAAGCATTCGTCGAGAGCCATGATCTTCATCTTGTGTAGCATGTGTAAATCCTTCCTCTACAGTGAATACAATTCCATGTGGACTTTGGCTCCCCATACCTCCATCACCACCATGGCTATCACCACCACTGTCACCTTCTCCACTACCACCACCACCACTATCTTTATCATCATCTTCACCGCCATCATCATTGCTACCATCACTATTATGATCATCATCAGTACTACTAGTGACAGTGATAGGTTGCTTACGTCTTGGTGGACCTCTCATTAGTCTGTCAAATTCTTCATCATCCATTGCTTTACTTGATCCTCCTCTACTTATTTTGAATCTTGATTTTTGTGGTGGCACAACACCTTGACTTAGGTTTATTCCTCTATCGTCATCGGAAAAACGATTTGCCCACGTCGATAGGAAAGTGTTTGGTTTTGTTGATTGCCCATCATCATCAAGTTCATCTAAAAGTGCATCACCAGGATCATCTAACCACTCTGAAATACCTTCATCTTCGTCAAAAACAGTGGTTAAGTCTATAGGTCTGAATTCATACCCTTTTTTGTCTTTCATAAGGTGCTTTAACTTCAACCTCATGTTATATTGTGCAAACACCAGCCTTTCTAATTTTTGATAATTGAGTCTATTCCGCACTTTAGTGTGAATGAGAGCAAATGTACTCCAGTTTCTCTCACAACCACTAGATGAAGCTGTTTGCGATAATATTTTCATAGCAATCTTTCTCAAATTTGGAGCATCAGTGCCATACATAAACCACCATTCAGCTGCATAATAATAAGAAACATATTAAAACCTTAAAGAAAAATATAAATAGAAAATCATGAGAATAAAATATAAAAGTGTAAATAATCTACTTAATTACCTGGATCACTTTTTGTTCTTCCTCTAATTGCAGCTTGGTCAGCAAAACAATACATAGCCTCCCGAAATATTTTTACCTAAATATCATGGGTATATTGATGTTATATATTAATTCAGCATATTTGTAAATTGAGATTGAAATACTAAAGTATTACCTCTGCAAGTGCTTCAGCAGCCTTGTTTGGATTTGTTTCTAGTCTAGACACAACGATCCGAAGCGAACCCAAGAAATTTTCTAATACACCAACATCTTCTTCATAATGGTATGTGGGGTTCAAGTAATAAGCTACACAATATAAAAAATGATAACACTTATAAATGATAACATTCAAAATGATAACACTTATCAATAATAAAAATATAAATTGATAAACAATAAGTTTACCTGCCATATGAATATGTTGAATGATTTGTTTTTTCCATCGAGCATCAATGATGTCAAGATATTTTTTGCACGATTTAGGAGCCGCATCTTTGACAGCTTGTCTTGCTCGTTTCATTGCTTCATATACATATGGAATTGTTGCTTTTCTTTCCTCATCCACCATTCTTAGAACTTTTGCAATAGGTGTATGCATATTCAACACATTTTTGGCGGTCTCCCAAAATTTAGGATTTAGAATTGTCCCTTGAACTCGCTTTCCAACTGGATCCTTTGCTGCCGCAGTCCTAGACCAATCTTCTGAAGTAAACATCCTTTGCAAACCATTTCTCTGCTCCAACATACTTTGTAAGGCAATATAATTAGTGGCAAATCTTGTTTGCCCTGGCCGAATCAATTCCCCCGAACAAAATGTTCGCATTATATCCAAGACTCTATTATGATTATAAATAAAATTTGTCACTCTTTTAGCTTGCTCTAGTACATTTTGAACCGTTTCAATCTTGGAAAAATCATGCAAAATCAAATCTAGAGAGTGGGCAGCACAAGGAGTCCAATATAGGTGTGGTCTTCTTTCCATCAACATTTCACCAGCTTTTTTGTACGCACTGCCATTGTCTGTAATAATCTGAACCACATATTTCTCTCCAATCTCTTCAACAACAGCATCCATCAAACCCAAAATATAATTAGCATCCTTGTCATGACCAGAACTATCAATTGACTTGTGGAAAACAATTTTTCCATCACAATATATCAAGAAGTTAATGATAGATAATCTTGTGGTGGATGTCCATCCATCACACATGATTGTCACTCCATAAATCTCCCACTTCTTTTTGAACTGGTCAATGTACTCTTTCAGCTCATCTATCTCATTATCTAGCAATGGTCCGCCAATCTCATATGGGGTTGGGCCTTTCACACCCACTCCAGCTAAAGCAATTTCATCAATCATCAATTGGTAAAAATGACCTTGAGCTTTGCTTGGTGGAATATTCTCATAAATGAAATACTTTGCAATGTTTTGCCGACTTTGCCCACTTTTTCGGATTCCACATATGAGTTAGCTTGGCTTGCTTTACTTCCCTATTCCGATACATCGAAGGATCCATCTCTTCTATCGTGAGATCCTTTTCTCTGCCCATCCACTTTTGTGATTTTCTTGAGAATTTATCCCAAGATTCCTTCACACTATGTGAGCGCATTAAACCCTTAGATATACCACTTTTTTGGATAGATGGTCTAGAACTTCCTCCTCTAAAGCCTTGCTCGGCCATATGTATATCACGAATAGATTGTTGTTTTGTATACTCAATATCATCTCTATATTCTATATCCATATCATCATCTGAATTCTCATCGGAAGAATAAATTTCGATACCACTCCTCCGCCTCGATCCACCAATTAAATTTTATCTCATTTTTCTCCGTTCACCAGTCACTTCTGTATTTTCAGTCTTGTTGCGATTCAAGTAATCCCTCATAGCTTTCGCAATTTCAATAGGACACTTATCACATTGTTCCACATTATTATAACCGCCCTGCCAAGTGTTGCTTTAACCGTGACACACCGCCACCCATCATTTTTTTATGGCAAAAATTACACATTACATGTTGTCGATTATCCCCAATTCGTTCGCCGTAATTCCATCTAATATCACGTTTTTTTTTTTTTCTGCGATGATTCAGTAGCTATATTCTTTCCTTTTGATGTCATATCTACAATAAATATCATTACGTTATTAAATATATTAAATTAATTTTACAAATTAAATATGACATGTATAACACTTTTAATTCAAATATAATAATATAAAAGAATAATTACAAAAATAAAAAAAAATAATGAAGGGTATCAAATTAAATTAATGGTACTTATGTATGCAGTGGGGTATTAAATATAATTACAGTTGGGTGGTAAATGTAATTGTAGTGGGATATTAAATGTAATTACAGTGGGTATTAACTATTAAATGTAATTGTAGTGGGTATCAAGTATAATTACAGTGGATATCAAGTGTAATTACAGTGGATATCAATTGTAATTACAATGGTATTAACTATTAAATGTAATTATAGTGGGTGATAAATATAATTACAGTGGGTATTAACTATTATATGTAATTACTGTTGGATATTGAATGTAATTACCGTATGTATTAAATATAATTATAAAGGGTATTAAATATAATTATTCATACATGTAACAAAAAAAAAATATATATATATATATATATATATAAGGCAGACGGCATAAACGACTCAGACAACACTCACACCACAGCCGAGTGTTTTGGTCGCAGCGATGGTCGCATCGATGGGAGAGAGAGAGAGAGAGAGAGAGAGAGAGAGAGAGGAAGAAGAAGAAGAAGAAGATACCTCGGCGATGGCGATGGCGAAGGCTCTGCGTGGAAAATTCGAGCCCTAGATCTGCGTGAAAAACCCGAAAATGGCTGAATCTCCTGAAATCTGGACTCAAGGTTAGTTCCTCTAGTCTTCTCCTTCAATTTCTCTGTCTCTTCGAGCTCCCGATTTTGATCCAAAATGCTTTCTGTCTCTTCGAGCTCCCGAATCTCCTTCAATCTGGACTCCCGATTTTTTCTCTGTTAAATTGGACTGACTTGTGGAAGGAATCTGCCTTCTGTGCCTCATGTGATTTCTGTTAAATTCTTGTGCTTTCTGTGCCTCATGTGACTCCCGATTTTTTCTCTGTTAAATTCTGACCGACATGTGAAAGGCATCTCTGTTTTTTTGTTTTTTTGTTACCTGAAGTGAACCACATCCAATCTGTACTGTTTCGATGGAAACGGTACCGATTCGACCAAAACGGTCCGATACACTGCCGATTCGAACTAAACATTGGAATTTTAGTATTCATCCCCTGTTTCGTGTCGGTGTGTTGAATTCCGAAACGTTTCGGACGTTTCGGATGTTTCGACACGAGATTTCGTTCTTTGCTCTAGCCATATAAAATAATAAGTTTCACTGATACGAGTGGATAAAACGTGATTGTGTATCCTATATCTATTTTACAGTCAAAGAACGATTGATTGAAAAGACATTCGTTCAAGAAAGACATATTTGAGAATCATGAGAATAATTTGGCAGCGTCTAAAGGGGGAAAAGGAAATATTATATATAAAACTTATTTTTATTTTTTTGACGAAACAGATTATACCATCACCTCCTTTGCAAATGACAAAAAAATGCCCCGTCTCTTTGTATCATACATAGAGTATACCTACACACTTTCTGAAATGAATTTTATCAAGAGCAGAGTCTGAGTAGCTCTTCGCTTGGTTGTACAAGGTGCAGCCCGAGGGGACTACTATGCTCACCGTGCTCCCTCTTCGCCCAGCTCCTATTGTAAAAAAATCAAAATTTTCCATTCGTGCGCTTAAATTTGTATCCAATCTACCTCTCTCAGCACGCAGTATAAATTACATCCACAGAATAATGGCACCCCCTATTCATGGAGAAAATATTCATTACAACGGTGATACCACATAACAGTGCGATGTGGTATCACTAACCAATAATATTAAAATAAATAAATAAACTTAACAAAAATTGTCACGTAAACAAATAACTCCCTAATCTTTCTCCGTGTAAGTCCAAGTGAAATTCACCTTGTCCACTTAGAGTTTTATTATTGGTTGGTGATACCATGTCACCAATGTGACATGATATCACCGTTGCATTCAATATTTGCTCCTACCCATGACAGGCTTAGAGAGAGAGCAACTACATCCCTTGGCCTATCAGGAAAGGAGAATTTTCGCAGTAGTACAGGACTAGAGCTCATTTCACCACTTACTGGGAAAAAAAGCTCATTTCATCACATATGATTCAAAATTAGTTTTCCCAGAATCTCAAGGAAAATCTCAGTCCTTGAGGAACATAAAGATTTCAGTTTTCTCAACGTTCTTGTGCTACTAATGGGATCTAAAAATGAATCTAAATGTAGTAAAATTGAAGAAGAAAGAAAATTACAATCCAGCCATGCAAGCCTTCAAGGATGCAGCTGCATCTAATCTTGCTTTGAGTATGGATCTTGATGAATAGGGCGCCTCTGAGCAAGGTATCGCTTTGTGCTCTCAAGAACACCAAAGAATATTGAACCCCCAATGCCAATCCACAGCACTCTTGGCCCAATACCCTATAGAGAAAGGAAAGTTGAGAACTCCATAAATTTATTGACACAGGATGTTGCATGTTTTCAAAATTAGCTAAGTGCTCTTTTCAAGCTGATCAAGATATGCCACAACCCAAGAATTTTTCGAACCTAACAAGGTTCCAAGGATTTCTTCTGTAATTAGAGTCTAATATATCAAAAGCATCTTCCCTGCATTGACACGACAAAAAATGTTGCTTATATCGGATCATAATTCTACCGAGAATCCACTAATGCTTCATGCCTAAGCTGAGAATAATCCCACTTCCACAGACAGTCAAAATGTAGCTGAACGTTAGCCAATGAACTTCCAAGTGTTCTAGCATTACTTTGCATTTTCTCTAAATTTTATGATCCATCTTTATATTTTGCATTTTGGAGGAGGGCAATTTCCTATTTTCCATTTCGGTAAGATTCCTTTGCCTCACCACTTATCAAGTTTCATCTAAAAGAAGAAAATGTACCCATATTAAAGCTCAAAGCTAGAATGATAAAAACCTTATCACCTCTTGCAACATGAAGACAAAAATACCTTCAAAAGGGCAGGAGGTCCTTCCTCTTTGACAATAGTCTGAACACAATCAAAAATACCTTTGTACTGGTTTGCTGATCCCTGCAGAGGAAAAAAGAGAGAATGCAGTAGCTTGCCAACTGATATATACACGCATTCTGCCATGCATACATTGTGCATTCCTTTCCATATGTATACAGACAAGATGACACAGAATTAGAAGAACGCAAGGAGCCTGATTGGCCCTACCTGAACCATTAATCTTGTCTTTATCACATCAAGGGGAGTAGTTATAGCTCCTGTAAGTGCACCTATAAGAAATAATAATACCTTACAGAGTATTAGATCTCCATGCGTGCAGTTTTGCAATTCCTCTCTTTCACTATGACAATGAAATTTGGTAATTTCAACTTACAAGCAAACAACCCAAGATTCTGAAGCCATAAAAAAAGAAACAATCTTACAAATCACTGTAAACAATCGAGAACCATACCCACTTTCCTATACGATTGTAAACTGAAAGGAACTGAAAGAAAAATGCAATAAGCATGACAAATATTTGCATTTTAGTATTCTAATTCACTCCTGATTAAATTTTCGCCTGTTTTTGTACAGCAGTAGCAGCTTGTAAAAGGTAATGTCGTGTGCAACTTCTCTTTCACTTTTTCTGCCCTTTAATGAACCTCAAGGTAAAATTTATGCAGCTCGAAGCTAAGTGGTGGGACGATCATTCACTTGTGTCCTTTAAAACTCCTAAAATCATGCATGTCATGCAAATTCCAGGATGTAAAAAATACAAACACTGCAGCAAGATGGCACCAATCCAAGTTTTGAAGATTGGAAAAGAATGCACCACAGGAACTCATTATAGGCATATTATTTGTACCACATTCAGACTTTTTCATGATTCTAATTTCTATCTACCATAATTTTTCAATAAATCACAATTTGAACTTCTAGGTATTGAAATCTTGAACAGAAAATTTTGGCTCCTCTGCATCCGTACTGGTTACTTATTTACCCCTGCAACAAAGTTGTCTCCATTCTTCTGTGAAATGAAGCACACCAAATAGACTGCATGGCGATCCAATGGAAATCTATTGTAAATGGTGTCATTTGTTACATGTAATGACCCAAAATGATGGATTTCTACCTTTGATTATAGGGTTCATAAAATCAGTAGGGGTGACACCCACTACTTGGAAGGATGTACTGCATGAACAAATCGTTGCTTCAATATGCAAAGCATAAAGGAGATACCACCAGTCATAAATCATGTGAAAATTTTTAGCACTTTGATGGCTATGAGAACAACTGTATCTCAATATATTTAGAAAACACCAATGACACAGGCACGGCATGGCATTCTTCGGCAACAACATACATGTTGATCACACACGATTGTCAGCAACAAGCATGGTACAAATTACACAACATGGTCAGCATTAGGTATTGCACAACTACTGAATATGCATTAGTGCTTAGTCTATAATGTACTAAACCAAATGTGGTACTAGAGTATCCATCTCTACAACATCTTCCATGACTTCGAAATTATTGGAAATTCCCAAGGAGCTCCAAAACCTTATTAGCGCAATATGATATCGCCTACAGATATAATAGTAAATTACCCAAACAGCTCACATCCTTCAGTAGTGTTTCAATTTGTTTTATGAACAAGTTTCAATACTTGAACAAAACACATTACTAATTACTTGAAAAGCAAGATTCCCTGTTCAGAGGTTTCTCACTCTTTCTTTATGCTTCTATTCTTAGGCAATAAATTTATTGAAAAGTTATGGTTTCTCATTACCAGAAGACTAAAAATTACTTGCAGCTTCTCCTTAAAAGAGAGGACAAAAGATGGACATCTATTAAAGATGCATTTTGTGCAACATGCACAAATCATGATGTTCATACCACTTTTTGTGCATCTGTGGTTCATTCTTCCCTTTTTTGGTGATGTGCTACATTTCAAAAGCAAATGTTAAGCCATAACTAAGTTCTGCATCAAATTCCAGTACTAGAGCCCCCAGTAGAGGAGATATGTAAATCGTTAGAGCATGTATAGGCACTTCTCTTTTAAAACCATAGCACAGAAAAGATTCTACTCAATAACCAAATGCACATGATATGAATTGTATATGTACTGTCAAAGACGTCATGATATAAATCAAAGAATTCCACATAAATGACACTTGGAAAGAGGCTATTCCTAGTTAAATTACCAGCAAAAGCGCCAACCATAGCATTCTCAGGATCATTTAGATCTCTCTTGGCCTGACAGAAAGGAAGAAGAAGACAAAGATTATTAACTGAATTCGGCGAATGAAGTACAACTATATACAGCAATAGTGTTTTACTTCAATTACTCATCAACTACAGAAAAAAAAGAAAAATCCATTACTACAATTTCACACGGACTCATATACTAGCATCGTGTTATTGTTCATATGAATGGTTAAAACTCACGCTCTTGTTCAAAATCGTGCCTGGAACTATACAAGTAAAATCATGAAATAAACAAACCATAAATTTTCACAGATTTCGGGCCTTGGAACAACAGTAAGGTTGATCTGTGTTGTGACTTGAGCATAACAGAATCTAGTCACAAAACAAACACTCCATGTACGGGGCTAAGGCTGCAAACATGTGACCCTTTGGACCACGCAGTGATGGGAGCTTCATTTATTGGGATGTACTTACTTTTTCTTAACCAGAAATTTTCATGTTAAGCAATAAAAAAGCTTACTCAAACAGCCTAAGTCTAGGATAATTTACCCAATCCGACTATAAAATAAATTACTATTTTACTGAAATATTTGGGTCTATGTTTCTGTTACATGGACTTGGTACTTTGGTCCCAATTACCCATGTCAACACGACATGACACCAACGACGAGATGAGGTAGAGAGGAGGAGGAGAAGAAAGATGACCACAACAAACCGGATTATAGATCCGGAGATCCCCAGATCTTCAATCTATAACTCTAGTTGCTAAAAATTGCAGTGATCTCTTGGATTAGTCAAATCAAGAAGTGGTAGTGGCATCAGGTCCATCAGATTAAATGCAGGAGAGGTGGGAGGTTGCTGCAGGTACTTGTTTCTCTTAATCAACATCTAATTGGTCAAAGAGACTGGAAACACTTTTATCAAAATCAGGATACAGGATCTGTGGGAATCCTTGGCAAACTTTCATACAGGGCGCAAATTTCAGGATTAAATATGGAATTTCAGTAATTCACATTTTTTATTAGTCTAATTCCCATTGGTTAGGGGACAATCCACCTTTGGTTTTTGGGTGCCACTTCAAATTTCAAATGTATCATCATCTTTTGGGCCATCAGATACAGGGAGTGTCACCTTCTGAAAATAAACAAAAAGAAAAAGAAAAAGAAAAGCCACTGGATTGCTGGAGCAAGACTGAACCTTCCTCACGCCCTTAGATCATTACCCCAAAGACCATCTAGGCTACGTGTGCTTTAATTTTGTCCAATGTATGATGTGTATTTATCAATTATGAGGTCCATAAAATACAATAGTACACATGACATGACACTTTGGGTTATCCCCCTGTCACTCTGTGCTACTGCACCCTAGATTAAACAAAAGTTATAACTTCATATATTCCACCACTAGCTGTCGTGTATCTCTAAACCAACCCCATCTCATTGGAATTTTTTACTAAATCCCACTTCAATCGACTCTTTTCAACTACCTCATAAACAATTAATTGTGGATAGTATTACATTAAGCAAAATACTGTATATCCCACGTGTCCCCGCATCCGTATCTGTATCCAAATTTTGGACACTGCCCCAAAATTTAAAGATTATGCAAGGCAAATGCATACCCATCACCTGAGTCCATGCAACAGGACTGGTTGAAGAAGATACAATAACGAAGCTACGGAAAGCCATGGAATCTAACAAATTTTTACTTGAGTTTGGTTGACTGAAATTTACTAAAGAAGATTCTGGAGATTAGCGAAGTGTCTAAAAATGAACGAAAGCACTCAAGTTCCCATATCTTAATAAAAAAATGTTAATATTCAATCCTGCACCAATCTTTGCAGCTTTAAAATTGAAAACCACACAATGAAAACTTTGGAGAGATAAATTTCAGAACTGTTAAGAGATCTCTTATATCCCACATTGAAAAATTAGGCCACCAAGGTTTGTTTATACACTTAAGCGGATACTCCAACCATTGCCAATTAGTTTTAGGTTGTGTGCTCTAGCACGGTATCAGAGTTGGGTTTTGTGTGGCATTGCATAGTTGTTTGTTTGTTGACCTCATGTGCGAACCCGGGTCCCACATGAGGGAGGATGTCAAGAGAGATTGTATCCCACATCAAAAAATTAGGACCACCAGGGTTGATTTATACACTTAAGGGGCTACTCCACCCATTGCCAATTGATTTTGGGTTGGATCCTCTAACAAGAACAACAATACTGGGAAACCAGCTTGGTTATGTAGCATGAAGATCTATGCTGGAAACTATCTTCCAAACAATAAGTATACAACATAGACGTCTGATAAGGTTCCTTGGAAATATGCTGAACAGTTTTACGAAAGAAAGAAGTATAAAGTAGGCATATCAATATGACTAAGAACAGGCATGTTGGAGTTGACACCACTATGTAAGCAGTAGGAGGGGAAACAAGTGGACTTCCAATAGCATTAGGCTTAATTCAATAATTTTAAGAAAGCTCTGGTTATGGATGATATAGAGGTGTGTGCCGCAAGCTCAAGATGATGGCCTGTGTTCTATGTAGTTTGCTGACATTATCATTATGGATAAATGATGGCCGAGCTCAAGACCTAACGAACATGTCTTGAGCAATGACACCGTTGATTTGAATTGAGCAATGCTATGGAATTACAAACAATCATCTCGAGAAGAAAGATCCATATAGACGACCTCAAGTTCTTAGCACCGGGGCTTATTATATGAGTTGAACCAAGTTGAAAATTTTCATGCTAGAATCGTAGGCAGACAAGGGAACAAGAAGGGGGCCGTCTACCCACTCTCGAGATCCCAAAAAAATTGCAACCAAGGGATCTATAGTCTATACACCTTGCCTATGGTTCAGTCATGTAAAGTACATCAAATCTCCTATAGACATGTGCCCTGTCAATATAAGACATAAAATATAAATAAATTGGTATCCACATTTCAATCAATGCAGTTACAAAGATCAGCATTGCTACAGCGAAGGTGGATTAATAGGTCATTTTTATTTTTCATTACAATTAACATTCCCTTCAAAAATTTGTCTCATTGAAACAGACATGCATCAAACTTATTATTTGCTACAACGATTCTTGGCATCACATCTTTTTATATGAAAAACTCTAATAACATAAACTGAAAAAGCTTACCGCCAACTTATAACCTATTCGAAGCTGCTCATACAGGCAGAATTGAATCGCGTCAAATGGTAAATCTCGCAGCAAAAAAGATCCAAACCCCTACAGTTTCGAAATTGAACTTCAATGTGCGTGCACAAAGCTCTACATGAAAATTTGAATAACTCATTTCATGCAGATTTTCTTTTCTTTTAATAATCTCAAAAGGCAGGTTATCAAAAAATAAAATCACTGAGAAGGAAACAGTCAGAGCCATTCACATACTTTTGCTTGTGTGTGTGTGTGTGTGAGAGAGAGAGAGAGAGAGGAGAGCGGGAGAGAGATTTTATACCGCATAGAGACCTTTAAAACCCTCCTTGGAAACAATAAGGCGGACAGCATCAGGGGCAGAAGCAAATTGACTGGTCTGCATCCTTTGCTTGACAACCTGCAGTCAAGACAAAAATAAAACTACGTAACATCAAAAAAATAGCAAGAAGAATAAAAATAGAAATGCACAATTAACGGTGTCTACCTCTGTTGGAACACGTATCAGAGAAGCAGCAAGCCCTCCAATGGCACCTGCAGTCTAAATGGAATTCAACAGCCTTCTGAAGTAACAACAAAAGGTTTGCTCGTGCGGAGAAAAGAAAGGTACTCTTAATACAAAAATTAGAGTTCATGATAAGCTAATTCTAAGAAGCAAAGCTACTTTTCTGACACCTATCTATGTCCAAGACGCATCAGGTATTAATACTAAATCGCAACCCGTAAAATACATGTCCAATATTTCCTACTTCCTAGACATACCAAATAATTGGAAATATAAATTTTACTTTTTAATAGTGTAATTAACACTCCTTAAATACTCTCGCAGTTGCATCCAAAGCAACCATTATAAGACAACATGATGTGTTCTAGTCAGTACATTTCTATGTGAAATAGGACGCGACACAAATGATAATAAAGCATATTCCATTTGATTTCAAAATAGTGTCCGTCAACATAACTCCATTTTTCTTACAAATTTGTTGTAATTAGATACTTAAAATGTTATTCATTTCCATGAAGCTGATTGTACATCATACAATATTTATTCATGTTATTACTGTCCCATTTGAAATCCGTCTCTTGTTTTCTCTGCATAAGTCATATATCAGCATGTCCATAACTGTTGTTTTAACATGCATCTGTATCCATGGTCTACGAAGGCAAATACTGTTCCTTTAGTCTACAACATAATGAGCATCCAAAATCCAATTTCAAGACTCTAGACAAATCAGATGACATTTTCCAACAATTTCTAGGCACCTAATGCACTGAAAATTATAGAAGGTAGATCGGAATCAAAGGCAAATTCAACATTAAAATTAACTCAAGGAGGATTATAATCTGAAAATATCAGAGCACAGGATGCTTAATTGTGATGGCAATGATAATTGTAATAAACTAAATACCTAGCAGAAGAGTAATATTTTTCCTTGACAAAAAACTTCCATACCCTAGTAATGATTTGAGAAGTGCATTTAAGGTCGCAACTAAATGATGTGCCAACGCAAATCTATTCATATCATAAAAGGCGAGGTAAGAAACTCTCACCAGATGAGCAACAGCACTAAGATTTTCGGGAAAAACCTTCAATAATTTCTGCTTTGTGGGTTCATAAACACCGACAAACATGGCAGAAGCCCTGTTATTAGAAGAACCATCATAAAAATCATTCAACTATATCCCATTATTTTCTTAGAAAATAAAACATTAGAGGGGTCCTCTTCTTGCACTAATAGAAAAGACAAAACCATAGTGTAGACAGATAATATATGAAATATACTCAAGGGTTAGGGTTCATACTTGTCAACCGGAAAGACCAAAGAAAGATTGGTAGGAGTAAGACAGAAAAGAGAGGCGACCAAGGGAGAGGAAAAAGGAAAGAACAGCCTATGTCTAGAGAGAAAAAAAATGTGTAGGGGGAGTTTTCTACAGAGAGAGAAAACAGTAAATTTCTTCTTGTTTTGAGAAGCGAGCAAGTGGGCGGACTAAGCATATGAGAGGGATGGCAGTGTCCTCTTTGCTACATTATTTCAAGGGGCATGTAATTACCATTATCAACCCCTTTCTCTTTTGGGGGTGGAACACTCGCAGCACCAAGGACACCCATGGGACCTTGCGGCTCACAGGGCATAAGAATTCCTCGACATCAAGAATAACTAGCACCTCTCCCTTGACCTACCAAACCACAACCTCCTAGAAGTGCATCCCCACTCCCCCCATTCCTAGCTGAGCAATTGTCCATGTTGTTTTCTTCAAGATTTCAAAGCTTAAGAGATTTCCTTATCAATATCGCACAACACGTGCTAGTCACTAATCATGTGAAGAGAGGCTGCAATAGCAATTGTGAACTCATTATTGATATTAGGATCCAATTATAGAGACCCCATAAAGGTGAAGGTGAAGTTGAGGTGAAGGTAGAGATTAGTCCTCACTATGCCAAATGGTCTTCCATTATTGTATCTATCTTTGAAGATTTGGAAGGTGAAGGTACATTTAAAGGAGAAGGCTTATGCATGGATAATTTCTCATGCTAAGAGCAGTACTAGTGAGGTCCTTCAAAAGAGGAGACCTAATTATTGTCGTCAACCGCAATGGTGTGTCATGTGCAGAGGTGATCACGAGAGTGTAGACCACTTATTTTTGCATTGTCCTTTGGCACGAGCATTATGAAACAAGTTTTTTGACTTTGTGGGCTTTTCTTGGGTTGCTCCAAGGACCATGGTATCTATGTTTTGTTTGGATGATGTGGGGCTTGGAGGAAATAGTAAATGTAAGAGCATTTGGCATAGTGCTTTCTTTGCTACATTATAGGTGATTTGGAAGAAATGGAATGAGAATTTTTTAGGATAAATGTGAAGCTAGAGAGACTATAGGATAGACTTTATTTTTCGGCCTCTTTTTGGACCTCAAATGTCTAAGGAGTTTGAAAATATTCCTTTCTTGTGTATTATGATAAGTTGGAAGGCATCGTATGGCTTGTAGTATAATTACTTTCTATATGTTTTCATGGCCTGTCATTGTGTAGGACTTCTTGTCCACACTTGATTTGATTTTCTTGTAATGATTCCTTTGATTATCAATAAAATTTTGTTTCTTATCGAAAATATTATAGAGACCCCAGAAGACAATGGAATAATGCATTTTAGAGTGTACTCACGGTAGGACACCAGCAAGATTTCCAGCCAATCCAGAGTATAGGCCCTTAAGAACTATTTGTCCTCCACCACGAGCTGCCTATAACAAAAATGTAACAGTAACTTAACTGACAAGCAAATAAACTAGTTAAGGAAATGATCTAAATTTTTGATATTATGAACACATTCCATCCTGTCTTTTTGGAGGCTTCACCCCTTTTGATGTGTACAATCTCATATTTGCAAAAAGGGCATTGAAGTGATATGGGACATTAGTCACAACTCAATCATTCAAACTCTGAAACATTGTAAACATCATCTGAATCATGTAGGTTCAAAAGCCGAGAACTAAAAGACCAAAGAAAAAAGTCAAGGGGTCCATACATAAATAGAACAATGGAAAAATCATGTCAGATCTAAGATAAAAGTATTTTTCACCAGCGCATCTCGTAGTCTTGACCAAAAACATAAGATGCAACATCAAAAAAGATAGCACAAATAAAGTTTTCTAAGCCTCATCAAAGTAGCCAATAATGAATATCCATGTCATAGAACCAAGATTTACTTCCAGACCAGATATTTGCTTGGTCAAAGTTGAGGAAGCACTAAAGTACTAACTGTCAGAGAAAAACAATAACGAGTTCGGATACATGTGCAGAGAGATTGTCAAGCTGGAGGTGAAAGCAACAATTGCTGCCTGCTTATCTACAGCCACGACTCGACACTTCAGCATCTACCAGCTATTATTTCATAATGTCACTGAGGAATTCTTTAATCTTCATTGCAAATCAATAATATATAAATACACTCAGTTGACCTGCCTGCAGTCGTGTCTTTATTGTATCAATTGGATATAAAGCTGTTTCAACGACTACTCCAGCTGTACCTCCTGCAATAACACCCTCTGCATAATTCACCAAAGTAGTTAGAAACATGAAAACTTGACATGTTAGATATATCTATTCCTACTATTAAAAGTAAATTCTATCAGACTAAAACAAAAAGGAGCAAAAGGGAACTGTTTGATTGATTTTTCCCAGATTAAGGAACCAAGAATTGAAAACATATGTACTCAATAATAGATGCTTTGTCAGAACTCTGCTACAAAGTCCTTCTGTAACACAATAGGGCATGGTTTTTTATTTACTCAATGTCACTTCCACGAGCTCATATTACAGAATCGATGAGTTAGAAACTCAGTTCCTTTTAATACATGAAAACTTGTTACATAAGCATTCCTTTATGGATGCATGCCCATTGCAAGCTAAGGATTATGCACAAGGTTTTATGTTTAAACAATGCTTATGGTTTGATGTTATTTCCCTACTACATCTTCTTCAGCTAAGAACTTCATTTTACCATGCTTGATTAGAATCTGACATGCAATACGTACTTTCTATGCAGAGCCATGATACTAAGGTAATAACTCCGGCAACAAACTTTCAGCATACCAAATAAAGTGCGTAAGAAATCAAATGGCTTCTCTTCTCCACTGCTGACTGATGCAAAGAATTTCTTCGGTTCCAACTCCATGTTTTGCATTTTCTCGTAGGATGCATCTGCAAAACCAGATCACCTGGTCAAACAAGAATTGAGGGATGAGGGACAAAGCGTCAATAATCAAAATCATCGAGGCATGGTATTGTTTAGTATGGCTCTTTGTCTTCCATCTGACATTTGCACTAAGCTCATTCCTCAAACATACACAAGCAAAAATGTAACTCTTTTGAAAAAGATATATTGGATTTTTGTACACCATTTCAGTCCATAAATTACAGAAGTCGCAATGCACAGTCCATAGCATTCAAAATGCAAATCCAGTTACATCCTTACTAAAAGTAATTATTTCTTTTAAACAAAAGGCTTTGTCGTACTTCATCAGTCTTCCCTACGGTGCTATAGTGGTTTACTTAGATCGTCAGTATATTGGGCATCATGATAAAATAACTTTCCTCTCAATGTTACGTTCACTTGTGCATAGATAATCTTTAACGCTTTGGATGTATTATGGAGTTTATTAAGTTATGTTCTCGATGCTCAACTAAGAAATGACACTCGCCAAAGTCTTCTTAATTTACATACTCCAGACTATATATTCCATATCCCACACCCAAATCTAAAATTGCATGTTTCCAGAACTTTAATTTGAAAATCAAGCAACAAATCAGGACCATATTAACAATTTCGGTTGATTGATAAGAAATTCAGATTCATCTAAACCCAGACAAGTACAATTAATCTATTCAAGCTTTAACAGGCCCCCAAATTTATATTTTATAATACCTATAACTTCTTGTCAAAATATTAAACAAAAAAACCTGCACATTAATTAACTCAAAAAACAGAAATTCCACAATGTGTCACAAAATACTCCAAAATTATGAATAAAACACACACAGATTACTGTACAAGAAGAGTGATTGAGGAATTTAAGCTACCTGATGATACTATGGTTGAGCTTTTCGTACCAACAGCCAATGTAAAAGGACCCATCAAGCTCCCAACAGCTATATAACTAGAATTAACCGTACTTGAGAGAAAATTCAGAACAAAATAAAAAATAAGGCATAATAAACAATCCACCAGAGCATATGATTACACACAAACACATATACATATATAAATATATGAACATACATACATACATATATATATATATATATAGAGAGAGAGAGAGAGAGGTACCAGAGAGAAGTGCTGTGACTCAAGTCTCTTTGGTTGTGGGTAAAGATAGAAGGATGGTGAGACAGTTGCAAAGAACTGAACTGTTTTATATGGGTATAGGAATTAAATTCTGGGGCAAAATTACATTTTCATCTCCCCAACTTTGACCTTTTTTTACCGTGCCCCTTTAACTATTATACTTTTTACCTCGTACACTCACTTATGAGATTAGTATTACTTTGTCCCAATTATTTTATTTTGTCCCCCCTTTTTATCATTTTGTCTCCATATGTCAACAATTTTAGTCCAAAAAGATAAAAAAATATTTGTGATTGAAACAATATAAAATAATCAAAGTAGTTGAGGAAATAATATAAAAATTCAATAATTGAAAAGACAAAGTAAAAAAAAATCATAGTTAATTTGGTCAAAATATAATTTACATGAAACTTTGGTCAACCAATTAGTGTGTCATTGAACAGCCCATTTTGCCTTGTGAAGCCTAAAGGGTTAGGCCAATAAGTCAACAAGGTGCAAACTTAAATTTAGTCCAACCACAAACTGGGGTGGTTTAGTGGTTGAACCAGTTTTGAAATTCAGCCAAAAGACCTTCATATTGATATTTGTCCCAAAATTAGGTCAGCAACTATTTTTTTAAAATAATTAACTTTTAATTATAATATTTTTTTTCTTATTTAGACCAATTTAATATAATTAAGGGTAAATTAGACAATTAAAAAAAATTCTTGTAATTTTTCTTTCTTTCAAACAATAGAATAAATTTTTTTAAAATTTTCTCGCAAGTTTTTTATGCTAACCAAATACATGCATAAAAATATATGTTCTTTCATTTTCTCTTCTTTCACTTTACTTTTTATTATTCTTTTATTTTTAATTAAACAGACCTATTCTAATTTTTTATCCTAAAAATCTCTCAGTAGTCTTCAACACACCTATTCTATACATAATTTATAGCTATCTAGTTGGTTTGAATGAGTTTCAAAACTCCATCCCAATTTTCTTAATTTTTTAAATTATCAAATTTTATTTCACTTTATGTCATTGGCCTTGTTGAATAACTTAATTCCTTATTAATATGATAACTTTTAAAATTTTTCAACTATCGCAAGTTTCTCTCTCGTCATCTCTCCCTTTCCCATCACTCTCTCTTTTCTCCTTTAAATCTGTATTTACTATGTACTATAACAATCAATTTAGGAGAGATTGTGCTTCTGAAACTTTCTCTTACCAAGAACTAGATTTTTTCAATTTTAAATTATTTAACAAAAATGCGTTGATTTCATAAAATCTAATCATTCCATGTAAGTTATGTAATTACTCCTAATTACTTTATTTTAATCCTTCTTAATTTAACACAATAATTTATAATTTTTCAAAAATACTAGAGTGGTAGGACGGTGGGTGGGGGTGGAATGAGGGGTGGCAATAGGGAGTGACGGTGGCGATAGAGTAGTAGAATTATGATAAAAGAAATTGAAAATATCTTACATCGCACGAGTTTGAGACGATGTTGTACATTTGTTCACATGGTCCTTTTGAATTACAACTATTTTTTTTCATTGTCCCATAAACTGTTAACTTTATCAAATTGTGAGTTTAACTATTAATTTGAGTTTCGCATTGCACCAAATTATCAACTTTTATACAATTTTTCACAACAAATCAATGCAAAAATGGGATCAATCCCATATTTCCCTCTTTAATGGGGCGAAATTCTCTTTTTGTACTAACTTGCATAAAACGGAATCATAGTATACGATATGCTATTCAGTACAATGTCTAAAAATGGTTAAATTTGTGTATCTTTATTTCGCATGTCGAGAAACTGTCTCGAAATGATGACTCCCAAGTCATAATATCATATAATATCTCAGCACAAAAACTATCTTATCCTCTTTCATACTTAAATCAACAAACAATAACAACAAAAAACATGTTTAGTTTCACTTTCTCTACACAATACATGATTAACATCTACTCTTTCTTAGGCATCCAATCCATTACAAAAAGACTGTCATACCATAAAATGCAAAGAAGAACATCAACAATGAAAAATTAACTGCTAAACCCGACGCCATGGCCGTCCATCCTCTGTCTTCAAGGCTCATCAGAATCTCCACCGGGAATTCACAAACTTTGGTTGAAGGGTTTTGCGTTACTATCTTCCCTAATCCGTCAAATTTACACACCAAATCATTCGCCCTCTGCGTTTTTATTTGGTAAAACATATTAAACGCGTAAGAAATTTTCTGGTTATAGCTCAGTCCACTGCATACGCCTCCCGGTTCTAAGCTCGAGCAATCGGATTGATTACATGCAAAATCAAAATTCCATTGCACTTTGCTCATGTTGATCATGTCGTTGTTAAACACGCACCACCGTAGGGGCAGGGCTACAACGCCCATAGCCGGTTGGGGGTAGATGTCACGCCCTTGGCCTGACAAATCAATTTTGTATTTCGCCCTTCCGTCGAATTTGAAAATTCCCCAGTGGCGCTGGTAGGGACTCCAAGTAGTTTTGATCTTATTTTCATCCTGTAGATTGTAAATATATGCTTCCAAAGGCTTAGGCCGAAGGGGTGTTCCTTGTCCCTCAGCCATTTTCTTGAGAAATCCCTTGAAAAATCTCTCAGCATTCGCGACATTTGCTACTGCAGCACCATCCGTTGGCCATCCAATCTGTCCGATGACCACCCTCATTTCCGGAAATCCATTTTTTTCCAAGGCCGAAACATATGCATCATAGATTGCATCGATAGCATTCGCGTAGATGACATTGTTATCGCGAATTGTGTCACTCGAGTTGTTATCAACAAATAAGAATTCGGTGTCGGTCAGATTGAATTGATGGATGAGAAAAATGGGGCTAATGTTTGCTAGAAAGGGAGCATCATGTTGTTTGAGATGTGTTAAAAATTGAAGCATGTATTCCTTAATGTCCTCTCGAAAATCAGCCTGTGATGGTTTTTCCAAGGGGGATGGCACTAAGACGTCCGAAAAATGGGGAACTGTGGTTTTGATGTTGTCATAGCCTGCTTCGTTAAGAGCTGTTTGAATGTTTTGCATGATTGAAATAATTTGTAGGTAAAGTGGTTCATTGTCTACTATAGAGAATGGTTCATTCCCAATAACCACATTCCTGCAAAATTGCACAAAAGAATCCAAAAATTCATATGAAATAAAGTTTACATATTACAAAAAAAATTAGCAAATGTTGACTTCATATAAAGTTCTAAATTGAAGTAGAGAGAGAGATAGAAGATCTCATACGTTATGTTGACTTCATTGATATACTTGACGATGTTTCTCTGCACCCAATCTCTGGCATCATCAGTGGTGTTAACTTCGTTGAGGAGAACACTAGGGATCGAAACCATGACCTCGATTTGGGTGAAGGCGAAGGCCGTGAGCACAGCATCCGTCAGGCTGAACAGCTTCACCTTCTTGATCCCATTTTCCAGTAGCATATCAATGACCATGGATGGTAGCAATTTCTGCGTCGTGTGGCGCCCCCAGTTCACGCCTAGACGATCAGAATAACTCGCCCTGGCCGGGGTGGCGAAAACCATACAAAATGCCAGTATCACCACTAGGGTATGTCCCATTATTGAAGCCAGCCGCGGTGGCAGCAGCAGCAGCAGCAGCAGATTAAAAAAATATTTGTCACCCTGAGAGAGGTGACAAATATTTAAAAAAATCGAGTGAATCGAAAGGCTTCTGGGAATATGAGAAGAATTGCAAATTGATGAAATGGAGAGGGGGAGAGAGGGTGATTTAATAGAGTTTTTTTGGGGTGATTATTTTCGTAAAGAACAGCAGATTCATGGCTGTGTTTAACCTGCCAGGGGGCAAAAAGGTTGGTGTCCTGATGGGTTTTTCTAATATTAGTATATTAGTGTAGTGGAAATGTTGGGTTGTGTGACTAAAAATGAACTATGGTTGTCAAGCATTTCAGAAAAAAAAACAGAGAGTTGGCTCAAGGCTGGTGGATCCCCTCCAATATCGGACAACCTCCATTGCACTCTCTCAATCCTATTTATCGGATTGGACTATGGTATCGAAAAATTATTTTTCACTACCATATCAAAAATCTATTTTCGATCGGATTTTTTTTCGTTTAAACTAGTTTGTAATCATTTATGGCAGACACAATAATATAAGGTGCAAAAGTAAAATAAGCAATTTTATCATGGGATGCGCGGAAAAAAAAATAGTTTTTCGTTATGAAAAATGAATTAAAAAATTGGCATAAGAACTTAATTTTATAAATCACTAACATTGAACAAGTAGTAGATTCCAATAAATACAGAGATTCATAGCTAAATTAATAACAAATATAACTATCACATCATCAAATCAATTTTTTAAATCTGTATAGTATTTGCTCGTTCGTTATCAAACACTCCTCCCCAAATGTTGGACAATCAAATAAACCAGTTCAAAAGTTTAAGTAGTTACCAACGACACATGACATTCGAATTAGATGCATTTTTTAGTCCTTAAAATATGCATAAAATTTCATTTTTTGCGATTTTTTTGATAAAAAATCATGAATTGCCATGCATACAGAATCAGCATCACTCAACATTTTGCACACTGACTATTATCAGAAATATCCCTGTAATTAATTTATTTTTAGGAAAATTTCACTTTGTACCTTTAAAGATTAATTTTTTTTATTGTACCCTCAATATATTAAAAATATTACAATATGACCCCTTCTATTACCTTTCATTGCTTATTCCGTTAAAACTCACCGACGTTGATGGAATGAGTAAACAAAATTAACATACAGACTACATTACAACACTTTTAATATATTGAGGGTATGTTTGGTTTAGGTAGTGAGGGGTGAGATTGGATAAATTTAATCGATAATAATATAATACTAAGTTTGGATAAAGTTATAGCAACTTGATTTTAATTTTAATTAATTCCGACTCAATTCACTATTACCGTTTAACATTTAATATTAGGTAATAATTAATACTATGTAATAAGTGGTATTATTTTTAACAAGTTAAGTATTTGAAAACGCAATGACTTTATTATCCTTCCAACTTAGAGTCACACATTCATATAAAAATTACACATTATGGATATTCTTGCACTCAATATTTGTTTTGTCATTTTTAATTTAATATCATACACTATTACTTAATCCAAACATAAAATTGGTGTTATAATTATAGATTTATATATTATTTCAACCTTAATCCAAACTTGTTATACAAGGATAGGATTAAAATAGTAATCTTGTTAACACTATTTTATGTATTGGATGGAAACTAATTACCAATCGTATCCTCTATTTATACTTGAGTCAAACACGCCCGGGTTCAATCTAGAAATCTTTGAGGATACAAAGTAAAAATTCTTAAATCTTTCATGGTATAAAGTGCAATTTGCCCCTCTCTTTTTTTAATGCTTTTAGTCAATAGGTTAAAAAATTACCAAAACTATGCTATTTTTACGCACTCAAGATTGGCATACACTTCTATACTAACATTAGTAAAATCCACCAGGCACCCAAACAATTTTGTTTTCTGAAAAAGACTGCTATATTTGGTGTGTTAAAAGACAGCAGTGAACAAGCTGTTGAACAGAATCATCAACCAAAACCTCTGATAAATCATCTCTCCCTCCTCAATGCCATTCATTGCCAAGTAGCCTTCCCATAATGTCCAGTGCCATAGCCCTCATGCTTGCATTCTGTATGCTTTTCACTACCACCAGGGCGAGTATTTCAGATCACGTAGGCGTAAATTGGGGTCGCCAAACGACACAAAAATTGCTTCCGTCCATGGTTATTGATATGCTTCTAGCAAATAACATCAAGAAGGTGAAACTGTTTAGCCTAACCGATTCTGTCCTCAGTGCCTTTGCTCATACAGACATTGAGGTTATGGTCACCATCCCAAATGTCCTCCTCGAGAGCATTCTCATCGATGGTGTAGGATTTTGGGTGGAAGATAACATCGAATATTATATCGAGGATGTAAATATAACGTACGAATTCGTTCCACATTATCCTGTATACTGTACTATCTGTTTTCTCACATTACCCCTTTCGCAGTTTTATGAATTTTTTTGGTGTTCTTTCAGGAATGTGGTCATTGGGAACGAACCATTTTCGCAAGTACACGAAGAACAACTTTACACCGATGTTATTTCAGTAATGAAGGAGATTCAAGGAGCTCTTAATGAAGCAGGGTATGGAACAATCAAAGCAACCACACCACATTTTATGGACGTCTTAACATTCCCTGGAAAATTGCTACCATCAAAGGCTGATTTTCGAGATGACATAAAGCCATTCATGCTACAAGTTCTACAACATCTCAAAAACAATAACAGCCCATTTGTAGCAAACATTTCTCCATTATATATCGTCAAGAATTTCAACCATACCAATCTGGAATTTGCATTCGTAGATAATAAATCAAATTTTTCGATCCAGGATAACAATATTACCTACACCAATGCAGTTGATGCAGCCTATGATTCGTTTGTATCTGCCCTCACGAAAAACGGGTACCCCGATATGAAAGTAGTTGTTGGGCAAGTTGGATGGCCAACAGATGGCGTTAAAGATGCCAATGACAAAAATGCTGAAAGGTTCTTCAAAGGCTTCCTCGCAAAAATGGCCAGCAACAAAGGAACTCCACTTCGGGCCGAGCCTTTCGAAGCATATCTCTATAATCTTGTTGATGAAAACAGGATAAAAACTATTCGAAGCCCCTATCAACGCCACTGGGGGATTTACAAATTCGATGGAACGCCTAAGTACAAAATTGATTTTTCGGGCCAGGGACGTGACATTTACCCTGTACAGGCCAAGGGTGTGGTACGCCTTCCCCTCCGATGGTGTGTTTTTAACAACGATACGAGCAACATGACTCTTGTGATGGAGAATTATATTATGGCATGTAATGAATCCGATTGCTCGACTTTGGCACCCGGGGGGTCCTGTAGTAGTTTGGATTTCAATCAGAAAGTTTCATACGCGTTTAACATGTATTTCCAAGTAACAACACAGAGGGAAGATGATGTCACGTGTCGATTTGACGGGTTGAGCAAGATAGTCACGGATAATCCTTCGAATGGAGATTGTCCATTTCCGGTGGAGATACTGATGAGCTGGGAAGACGGAGGATATGGGAAGGCGCCGGGATTAAGTGTTGATGCTGCATTGTTGATGATCTTGTTTGGATTATATTGGATGATGGTCATTTGGTGAATGGAATGGATTCCAAACATAACATGTACAAAGTAATCATCAATTGTTTGTTGTTCATAAGTTTTTTTTTTCTTTCTTTTTCCTGGGCATTGTAGATTTCAAAGTTGAAGGATAGAAGTAAATAAAATATTTTTGTGCCACTATGCTGTTTGATGAGATTTTTGTTGTGTTTCGAGCTTTTATAAGTCTAATTTAATTGTAATTTAAGTTCTTTCGAGAACATCTGATAAAATATAAACACTGCAGAGAATAAAAAAATAATTCAGCACAAAGAAAACCTACAAATCAAGAAAAAGATTAATGGTAATTTAACATTTAACAAGCTCATTGATTTTTAAAATTTAACAAACTCATAAATCAAGTCGTATAAAGGGCCCTCTTTGGAAGGTTTTAATAAAATTGGATATATTTTGAATCTTTTAACTTATATTTTTTTTTGGCTACAGACGGGGCGGAGCCAAAAATTTCTATGTGAGTGGGCACTAACTAACTTATGGCTTCCAATCGATTAAAGTAAATGACACATAAATTAGACATACTATTTTGTTGATTTTCTCACTCTAATATTAAATGAGATATTATAGTATGAAGCAAATACAAGTACAAAAAAAGACCAAAAAATCAAGCAATTTGGAATACAAAAGTACATAATTGCAATTTCTAATGGTAACTAATTTTTGACTAATCCATAATTTGAAGAAATCCAAACAATATTAAAAAAAATCAAGTAATTTCACAGAATAGATAATTTATGATTGAAAGTTATCGAAAACATACTTATTATTATTAACTCAATAGCCATATCTCAAGGGCATAACTATGCCCACCATTAACCATATCCACTAGCCATAGCCATTCTCACATTGGATTGAATTGAAATGTCTTCTACAATTGCATTAGATGAACAATGATTTAAGTGTCAAAAAAATGGATTAAAAGCAAAAAAAAAAAATTATAGAACCAAAAAAAAAAGGATTAGGACAAAAACCCCCAACAAAAATCAAAGCTCCATTGATAATTTAACAAGCCCCAAATAGTTCAATTGCTTGTGTTCAAATCAGAATTTTTTTAAAAATACAAAATTTTCCAAAATCAAGACTCACATATAGGGAAGGTCGCTGGGGAAGTTGGGTTCGGGTTAAACCTGTAAATCCTAACTCTTAACTCTTAACTTAAGTCTTGCCCAAATTCAATTTGACTTGAAGTTTTCGACCCTAACACTTACCCTAAAGATCTCAACTTTAACAATATATTTTTTTCCCCATTTTTGGGGAAATTAGAAAGGGGTATACCAAATTAGAGTTAATTATAAAAAAATACACATAAAAAAATGTAGAGTAAAAAAATCATTAATTTTGTTACTTATTTTTGTTCGAGTACATTATTTGAAATTTTCAGTTTGTCTCGTGACATTTTTTTCCACCCTTGATCCATGCGTATTTTTTTTTTAAAAGTCATTTTGTTTTCAAATTATATTTAAATATTAAACATCTTCTAGTTTTTTGAGAAAATTTTAATATTTCGTATATTTATCTCATCCCTTAATTCATGCGTTTTTTTTAAAAGTGGTTTTGTTTTCAAATTATATTTATGTATTAAATATCTCTTAGTTTTGTGGAACAATTTTAATATTTCGTTTATTTTGTGATATATCACTTTGTTTGAATTTCAAATTTTGTTAATATGCGAACACCATAACAGTGTAGCAAGACATTTACATCAAATATTGTACTGTTACATTTTGTCAAACATATATTTTCATATAATTTTATTCAAACAGTCCATCTATATTTTAAATTTGTTACCACATGCACAAAATCACTGAACACTATATTTGTTATAGTGTATTGTTACATTGTTTTTGTTATAATGTATTGTTACACTATATGGAAAATACAGTTAGTAGTTAGGAGATACATACAGTTTATTCACATACAATGAATTAATATGGCAGAAACACATAACATAAATATCGTATTTCGCATAGGTCAACTATCAACTTTTAGCAACTTGTTTTGGTCTTCAAATGCAAAAGTTCGTACGTATCTTCAAATGGTAAACAAATATTTAAAAAATATATGATGTTGACGATCTTTTATATCAAATGGGTTGAATAGTATGATTTTTTATTTAAAGATGAAACTGTATAGATGTTCAGGGAACAATTTTAGGACTTATCACCAAAGAAGATGAAGTGTTTCTGGAGAATAAGAAGAAGCTCAAACGTTTTTTGATAATGAAGCGCTTTCTAAATAAATTTTAGCGTATTTAATTAATGAATTAATATATATTTTTAAAACCGTTTTAGGAAAGTAAATTTTAGGAAGAAGAGATAAAGAGTTTTCGAATTAAATGACTATAAATTTCAATGCCTAAAATAAATGTCTTGTTATAGATTTTAGGAAATCAAATTTTACAAAATGGGCATTTACATTTTTGTATCTAATAGTTTATTTTTTTCTAAAATATTTGTTTACTAGTTATCGTCTGTGCTTAAACGTACAAAGTAATAAATAATGGTAAATAATAAACATATTTGTATTTATATCAAAAATTAAATCATAAACACAGAGAAGAGATAAAAAAAAATGAAGTATTAATTTTGTAGTGGGGGTGAGAGGTGGCGAACAACAGTGGAGGTGGTAGGAGACGATGATAATTGTGGTGGGTGGCAACGACCGTGATGGCTGCGACGATGGCGGTGGCAGTGGCAATGGTGGGGCGGTTTCAAATACTAATTTTTTTTTAAAGTGTTTATGAGAAATAATTTTTAGAAGTACCTTTAAAAAGTCGCTCCAAACACACCCTTATAACCCTATTTTTCTTATTAAATTTAGGGTGTTAATATTAGTCGTTAGATTAATTTTAAAATAAAATTTAAAGCGATCTAAACTGCGAAAAGCAAAAGTCATTTTGTTTATCTTTTGACATTTGAATTGTAAGCTATTTTATTAAATATTAGTTATTGACTGTGCTTGAAGACATAGATTAATAAAAAATAGTAAATAATAAATATATTTGTATTTATATTCAAAATTAAATCACAAATATATAAAAGAGATAAAAGAATTTAACCATTATTTTGTAATGGAAGTGAGAGATAGTGGGCAACAATGGTGGTGGTTGGAGACGGTGATGAGTGTGGTGGGTGGCAATGACTGTGGTGGCGGTAGCGATAGTGTTGGCGGTGGTAGGGGTGGTGGTGGTGAGACGATTTCAAATACTATTTTTTTTTAAAGTATTTATGAGATGTAATTTCTAAAAATACTTTTAAAAAATCATTCCAAATACACCATTAGAACCCTATTTTTCTATTAAATATAGGGTGTTAATATTAGTCGTTAGATTAACTTTAAAATAAAATTTAAAGCGATCTCAACTGTGAATAGTAAAAATTATTTTATTTATTTTTAAAATTTAAATTATAAGCTACTTTATATATAGATAGATGTGTATTTTTTTACAATTATATCTAATTTGATATTTTTTGAGTTAAGTTCCGCCCAAATTTCACCCTTATTAATATTATAAATTTTGTCTCTAAAAAACCTTTTACCGCGAACCCTAATGAGCCAGCAGCCCGTCTCTTTTCTGTCCCTTCTCTCTCTCTGTCTCTCTCCACTACTGTCTTCTCTCTCAAAGCCCCCCCGTCACCCTCCCTCATCTCCCTCCTTTCTCTATACCAAACTATTCAGAGAGCCACGTCCACCACCGACGACCAACAGACCACCGATCAGCCCATCGACTGTCCAGGTAATCCCTTTCTACTCTCTCTCTCTCTCACGCACGCACACAACACACACAGCAGAACACGCATCACACGCGCACAACGCACACTCACAACTCACACACAGGATACATACATAACACGCACACCTGCACCCAATCACTGAAGCACACACACATAACTAGATTTCTAGGGTTTTGTTAATTATATGATTATTTTGATGAGATTTGAATATTAGATTTTGTTAATGTCAGGGTTTTGTGTATTTTGATGAAAGTGAATGTTAGGGTTTTGTTATTTGTTTGAAATTTGGTGTTAATTTCATGAAGTTGGGTGTTAATTTCTTGAAATTTGGATGAAACTAAAACTGAACTTGGGCTTTAATTTCTTCAAATTTGGATGAAATTGAAACTGAATGTGGGTGAATATGTGGGTAGGAGAGGGTTGTGTGGGTGAGAATTTGATTTTTTGTTGCCTTTTAGGAGTTTTTGTGCTCAATTACTTCTTCTAAAAGCAGCAGCAGCAGCTGCTGCCTTCATCTGATGCATGGAGCTAAAACATAAATAAGACAAATTTCATGAAGTTGGGTGTTAATTTCTTGAAAGTTGGATGAAACTGAAACTGAACTTGGGTGTATATGTGGGTGGGAGAGGGTTGTGTGGGTGAGGAATTTGATTTTTTGTTGTCTTTTAGGAGTTTTTGTGCTCAATTACTGCCTTTAAAAGTAGCCGTAGCAGTGCTGCCTTCATCTAATGCATGAAGCAAAAAACATAAATAAGATAAAACAATTAAAGGTTTCTATTAATGACCTTAAGTGCATTATTGAGTTGCTAATACAAAAACGTGAAAATACATTGCTATGGATATGAACTAGAGTGGAAAACTAAGTTGCTACATGGACTAAGTTACAATAGAGTGAACTTTTGAAATTATTCATAGCTCGAACCACAAGATGTCAAGATCTAAAGCAAGGTGGGTAGTGGAAAGTTTTTGTGAAAAAGCAAATCATGGAGTTTTAAGTCTACATGTTTCCCATGTGCTTCAAGTTTCCTATAGACCTTAAATTTTACCAGAATATTGAGCTTCATATGAGAAAAGTTAATTTTCTTTTCTCTCTCTCCCTCCATTGTTTGAAAAAATTTGTAGAATTTGATGTTTTATTTGGTTCGGGGTCATGAATTTGGGTTAGTTGATACATCATACATGAGTTAGATTATGTTGTATGCATTGAATGGGATAGCATTTATATTGCAATCGTTTCGGGGTCGCTTTC